AGTGCTGATTAAGTATTCACCGCACCTTTTTGGGTGCCGGCTCTTGGACTTTGTAGAGATAGAAAAGAACACAGCTGCGACAGTTGCTCAGAAGAAAGCGATCCATCAGATGGGCTAACCGCACTTAGCATTTTCCACCTTCGATTAGGACGAATCTCGCGATTTCTTTGGTTCGTCCAGTTACATGACCATTGTGTCATAAGCCCGGTTTATCGGTTTCAACTTGCATTTGTTTAGTTTGTTTATTGTTGTTTTGTGTAGTTTGTATTGTATTTCTATTTCTCTGCTGCCTTTGTATTTCTCCTTTCCGGGGGCTTTATATTGGTTATTGGTGGCGAATCATCTGTGCACTTTCAAAGACTGATAACACTGCGTATTATTATTACACGGTTTGTCATTACTGCAATTTGAATCGACATCCAAATAAGTATTACATTGCGCTTTTTTTGTATTCTTATGGATTGGTTTTGCGAACTCTTATTTTCTGGTATTTACACAGTAGTAAAACACTAACAGATACAATAAAAAAAAACTCGAAGGTGCTTATTGTATCCAGATTAGAAATTACACCGACTATCTAGAGGATTTTTTTTTATTGCCATGTGCACGTTTTTGTGGTTAACGTTAAAAATTAATTTAATATCGTTCTTATTTAGGCAAGATTTTTACAGTGACTCAGATGTCTTAATAAATTAGTTGCTTGGTTAAATTAATGCACTGCGGAAAAACAATAACAAAACAAAAACAAAAACAAAAACAAAAGATAAAAAAAAATGTGCTCAGTAGGTTAGGTGTTGGTATTATTTGTTTAGTTTTTGTTAAACTCGCTTGCTTGAAGACGACGTCGAGAGGTGTTTTTTTTTTTTTTTGAAAGTGGGTGCAACAGTTGTGCAGCTATCAGCGCAAATGAATCTCAGCGGTGATTCATAAGCTGTCAAATAAATGCACACAGAAAAAAAAAGATGTAAAACGAAAAAAAAAATAGAGTGGCCGAAAAGCGCTCCGAATTACCTGCGCATTAACAATAACGGCGCGAATCGGGATACTACACTACTATGCACTCTCTAGTTTACACACACCACACACACACACACACACACAAGCACACACGGAGGCAAATTTACACTGGCTTACATGAAATGCAATTATTATTTTACTTTTCCACGGTCTGTTTGAGATCCGGTTGCAGCTTATGCGAAGCTAATTAAACTAAACTTTGTTTACCCAACAGGAACCCATTGTCGTAGGATCCAAAAACCCATACCCATCGATAATGGTAATACCATGCGTTTTTCCGAGCTATTTATAAGTAATCTGTCATTTGGAGACAGACAACATGATGATGATTTCCTTAAACTTTGCGCTTATTTTTACCGGCACTCTGTTTGGACTACTTGTACACCGAAGAAGATAAAACATATCCGACGGATGGGGAATGGAAATCGTCATTAAAAAAAAACCGCAATTCTATTATATATGTTTTGCTTTTTTGCTGCTGCTGCTGCTGCTGCTGTCGATGTCGCTGTTGCTGTTGCTATTCGTTGTTTGTGTTGTTGTTGTGCATTCGGTTTTAATTTTAACTAATGTTAACTAGCTCTCGCAATCGAAATAACACAGACGCAAACGATGGCATAAACAGAACTACCAATGAGAAATTATCTCAAAATGTATTTCAGGCAAAAAGTAAAACAGTAAAAGCTCCTCTCATCGAGCACTCGCACTCGCATTCGGATTCGCATTCGGATTCGCATTCGGATTCGCAAACCGACCGACCGACCAGCCGAACCGAGCCGAACCGAACCGAACCGAACGAACGACCACCGCAACCGCCCCGAAACAAAAGCAGCAGAGAAGAGAGCGGAAAAAAGTGAACGAGCAGGCGTACATATGAGTAGAAACTGACAGCAAGAACTGAGTAGAGTACCAGAGTACCGGAGTTCCCCCACCCATATCCCATATCCCCTACCCCCCCATACACCCCCGGTGCCCATACCGAACATATCCAAGGGGAAAGCGCGAAAGGGGCGAGGGGTACATTCCTGCAGCCTCAACAGATTGTTGGATGCGCGAGTGACCGTTTGCTGCCACCTGGTTATCGAAGCTTCAACGCAAAACACTCAACGAAAAAATACTCGTTTCGGTATATTTCCAGTTGCTTTTTAATCAACTTCGTTTAAAGTTTCAAATACCATTTTGGCGGGCAGATGCTTTTCAATGATGGTAAGAGCCGACTTAACGTTCTAGTTTGAGAAATTTATCATGCCGCCTGCTTACCGACGGAAATTACTCGATTAGGCATATTTTCGGTTGCTTTTGAAGCAATTTCATTTCGGTGGGCAGTTTCATTTCTATTATGGTTAAGGTTCTAGTTTGAGAAAGTTAACATGAAGTGACCATTTGCTGCCGCCTGGTTTCGAAACTTTAACGCAAAACTTCGAAGGAAATAATTATTTTCGGTATATTTTTAGTAGTTTATTGAGCGACTTCGGTTGGAGTTTTAAATATCATTTTAGCGGTCATTTTGGTAAGAGCCGATCTATTAATGTTATGTTAAGTTAACATGAAGTCAAATTGTTCGCTTGATCAATGTGAACTTTAATTTTCGAACAACAAATCTGTGTCACACGAGCCTTAAGCCATTTTGGACTGCCAAACCTGAAAAAGAAAAAACTCTTAGATATATTTTTCATTACAACAAACTCTAATCATAAAATTGTGAAAGTAATTGTTTTCGTAAGAGCCAATTAACCCAATGTGAAAATTTCACATAAAATTTCGAAATCATATAAAATTTTAACAGCAATGCATAAAGCGTTTTGTGAAAATTCAGCTTTCGAAACGTGACAAGTTTTTACCAATTTAACTCAGCTCCTATAATTCTTTGGGTACTTTCTGAAAGTAATAAAAATAACTTTATTTTTAATATTACTTCCAAAAGCTGAACTCTGGATTCAAAGATAAAGCACTAAATTTTCCAGTAGATGGCGTTTTTACCATATAGCATCGGATGATCTCATTTCTATATCTATTTCTGATGCCGTAATAATTTAGATTCTTAAAACTATTTCCACCAAAGGATTAATGCGTTATTTACTCTAACAATTTAATTAAATTGTTATTAAGTTATTGCCTATCGATTACAGTTTTTTTTCCACCCCCGTTTTCAGGATCTTTAAAATACACTACAAACTTCATTTAGTGTCGTGATTTTCACGTCATACACCTTAATAAACATATGTATATACACATATAATTCATAAACTCTTTTTTAAGATGTTTTTTAGTTTTGTTAAGATACTCTTGGTTAAAGAGTAATGTCGAAAAATGACATCAAAAATGCGTTTGACCGTTTTATTAATTAAAAATTGATTTTTTTAAGGATACATCTGTTTGGAAAACTTTATGAAGAAATTATAGCTGAAGTAATTAAGGGGAGAGGCATTGAAAGTAGAACAGCGCAAATGCAAGAGTGTTTGAGTGAATGTTTACAGCGCATGAATTAATTTTTCCATGTTTTGACTAGCGTTGTGGTTGTTCTTCGAGCTGAGGATGAGGTCCGCTCAAAGATGTACTGAATCGAGTCAGGTTGAGTGTACTAAGCCTTTATTATCAAACACGGTGCAGTTGCAGTTTAATATTTGACTTTGAAGCGGGAAAAGCGCGCGCACAATATAGGGAAAAGCTGGGCTGAATCAGCGTTGAAGAGAAAAGCTCTTGGCTTATTTCAGCTAGGACTGGGTGCATTGAACTTACAGTTCACCTGACAGGTGAACCAAACTGGTTATACCTGAGCCAGTGACTGATTCCCAGGAGGGTTTTTGGGTCTGGCCGATCTGTTTGGCATGAAAAAGACTAAATTATATACAAAAGATTGTAAAAAATAAACCCCAGGTGGGTTTATATCTTGTTCTCTAGAAATATAGAAACATCAAAATAATCCAAATCCTAAGAATAACGGTAAGACCTATGGCTTCATTATAATTATAACAAATCTTTTCCAAAAACGCCGGTTTAAAAAAAAACAGAACAACGAAATTCAAACAAATTTGGAATTTTTTTTTCCGAAATTTGAAATAAGTTGTTTAAGTTTTACCCAATATTTGAACAACAAAAAAAAAATAGTTGTTTAAACAGAAAAATAAACAACCATTTTTTTTTTTAAATTTATTTGTGTCTTGGTGGCATAGACTTGAATTTATTTTAAAACCAAAAATTAGCTTTATTTATTCTTCATATTTTGACTTTAATTAAACCAAAATCAATACAAATACATGTCTTACGTGTCGGATGAGTAATTTTGTTGCAGTTTTAAATAAGTTATTAATAATGAAGTTTATTTTTCACTAAAATAAAAATATATTTAGGGTAAATATTAATATGGGTTTAAAAGAGTGTTTTTAAAATAAAATTCAATTTACACATTTGAGTCGGCTAGAGCCTCGTTTACCAAAAAAATTGCCTTGCTTTGTTGAAAAAATCTAATTTCTCCCCCGTCTGCCACAATTTACCCAAATCTTTTTGCTATTTAACTGTAAAAACTGTAGGCATTTGCTGAAATTCCCACGCTTCGAAGTGGAATATTTTAATTAATATTATGTTTCATCAACTGACTGCCTTCGCAAAAGCGGCGGCGGTGTAAACGGTACACAACAACATTTCCGCTATTGAGATTTTATGCCGTAGTGTGAAGAGGGTGTTAATGTTAAGACTGGCTACGTTCATCGAAACTAACTGTTTATTGGTGAAGGATCGATTTTTTCGATAAACGATTTATAAGTTACAATGTTGTAATTTGATTATATTTTAACTTCATCCATTCACTGGCAATTCAAAATTATTGGCGCCAAGCTTATTATTTATACATATGACAGTGGAGTGTATCATTGGCGTTCCATTATAGCTTTTACCTCTTTTCGCAAATAAAATTATGGAATTGTTTTTGTTATGAAAGTGAAGTGTTGTGGAATTGTTCGAAACAAGTGTTCTAAAAACAATCGATAATGCCAAGCAGAGCCGAAACTCGATACTTGGGTTGGGGCGATCGACACTTTGACTGCCCTGCCCTGGTATGCGTATGACAATAAATTATTATATGTATATATGTAAGTAAATATATAATAAAAAAAAGCCCCAGCCCGAGCACTATCCTCTAGAACATTTCACCACAGCATATAATGGTGGGAAGTCTCCGGAACATCCTTATCTTATCGTGCGTGGTGGACACGGGACGACCACTAATCAGAGGAGAGTATTGCTAACTCACAATATTATTGATAAACAAAGCTAGAGGCTAGAGGCCAGCGTCACACGTTAGCTCTTGTTAGCCCAACCGAAAGAAGGAGATCCAACTGTCGGCCATGTCCGAACCAGGAATCAGGAAGCTGAGTCAGGAGCGGACCCGTGAATGGCTGGCCAACCAGGCGGCCTCCGCGGAGGAGGAGGATCTGGAACTGGAGTCCATCGCGGAGTCGTCGGTGGTGGACAGCCTGGACTATGAGTACACCGAGTACGGGCAGGACGAGGAGGATGCAGACCAGAACACCAGCGAGGAAATCAGCACCATGACCTTAGGCACTCAGATTGGTAAGTTCACTTTATTATACCAGTTACTTTGTATGTATAAAAAAAAAATTTATAACAGGTAGAGGGAAACGTTTCTGACCCTATAAACTGTATATGTTCTTGATCAAAATCAAGCCATTTCCGTCCGTTTGTCCACCCGTACGAAAAGAATTAGGATTTAACATGCAGAATTTTGGTATACTTCACTAGTTAAATTGTACATATGTGTTTATTCGGGCCATATCGTTCAACTTCTACCAAATTTTCCAACTCGAACCAGTATTTTAGAACATATTATCGTAAATGTAAATTGTTGGATACTTAAAAATGTGAAGTTCCGCCTGCAGTTCGGCAGATGGCGCCACCTAAAACCCGTTTTGTTTTTTTAGAGATTGTTAAGTTGAGTCACGGGTATATCTTAGTGGGTGCCCCACTATAGCTTGTTACAATTTAAAAACTAGCAAATCAATATCTTCTATATCCCATAAAGCCACCAAGAAACACTCGATCATTAGCGACACAATACGCGATCTCATGAACTCGATCAACAGCATTCAAACGCTGGGAAACGTCAACATCAGCAACTCAACCAACGTCCATATCGGCAATGTGACCAATATCAATGGCAACATACAGATCATAGCCGACAGTCTTGGCCAGTCCCGAAGAGATCGTCGTAACGCTTCGTCTCCAAAAGCTCCCGCATCGAACTGCAATACGCAATTCGACGAAGATTGTCAGGATGAGTCGGAAGAAAGGATACGCCCAGATGTATTTATAAGGCGCCAAAGTAAGTTCAGCTACCGCAAAATATCCCTTGACATCTAAATACTACTACATATTTACAGAATTCAAAATACCAAAGGAGCTGTGCTCCATAATTCCACGACACTCCTGGCTAGCACAAATGCCCATGGAGGATCCGATACCTTTGCAGCTACCCGTTAAATATGTGGTCATCTGTGAGTAGTTAGTTAATCCTGAGTCGTAAAATACACCTTTAAGTTTAAAGTAACCTCCAACTTAATTAAATAAAAAAATTTCTTAAACTTTGTAATGGTTTAATTTAACTTAAAACATAATCCAATCGCATTTAAGTTGAAAGTAGAATATATAAATGGCATATATTAAGGACCATTCCTAACATTTTCGGTCTCTTTTTCCATTGTAAGATAGAGCTTTCTCGATGTCTTTGTTGTCCTTATAATTATTATCTTTAAGTCTATTCCTAGCATTTCTCTCTTTACTTTTTTTTTATAAAAGCTATTAAGAAAAAGCTCTTTAAAGACTTTGTTGTTCTTCTATTTGATAGGACCCTATTCTTATTTTTTCTGTTTTATAAATCATAGGGGAAATGTAAATGCAAAAATATTGCATCTATATTATAGTAGTAGTAGAATATAATCTTAAAGACTATTTTAAGCATTGTCTTTTTTATCAAAGCTATTGCTATAAAGCTTTTTAAGGGATTTGTTGTCCTTATATTTGTTCTACAAAACTTAGATTAAATTTAATTTCAATACATTTACTAAAATAAAATAATTTAAAGAATTTTTTTTTTCCAATTTACAGTACACACTGCTACCGAGAGCTCAGAGAAACGCGCGATCAACGTGAGACTTATACGAGATATGCAAGTGAGTGCTAAAATGGGACCTTTAAAAATAACAAAGTCTTAAAAAACTTAAAAATAAATTTGAATTACATTACCCTTTTTGTGTTTTCAGTGCTTCCACATAGAGTCGCGGGGATGGAATGACATTGCGTATAACTTCTTGATTGGCTGTGACGGCAACATTTACGAGGGTCGCGGCTGGCGAACCGTGGGTGCCCATACACTGGGATACAACAAGAAGTCGCTGGGCATCAGCTTCATTGGCTGCTTCATGCGGGAGCTTCCGACGACGGACGCCCTCAACATGGGCCGCAATCTGCTGGCCCGCGGCGTAGAGGATGGCCACATCGCACCCGACTACCGACTCGTTTGCCACTGCCAGTGCAATTCGACGGAGAGTCCTGGCCGACGATTGTACGAGGAGATACAGACGTGGCCCCACTTCTACAATATCGAGGAGGAACAGCAGTGAAGGGACAAAGCAAGGCACATAACTTCATGACTTCAATGCACCTGAGTTGGGCACACAATTACCTGAGTTCAATTCACCCTAGGCTTATATCACACCGTTGAAAATACAACTGTTATGCGTAGCATTTAATTTTTACTTTTGTGGAATTATGACAAGGAATTATGGCCACTAGAATTAAATACATGTTTCATAATCTTTGGAAAATTCATTTTTTGGAGCCAAAAGTTTTTGTTTTGGGGAAATTAATGTATTTGACATCGCAAAACAGTAAAACTTGATGGGCACTTGAAACAAATATAAATTTGTTGCTTTTAATGGTTCTGACTAAAGACAAAATAATTATATTTTTTATTATTTAAAATTTTTAACAATACTTTATAACTGAATTTTGAAAAAAACACTAAAAAATTGATCAGCGAACGTTATCCAGGAGCTATATTTTAAATGCTTATCATTTCTATTTATGTAATGTTTGATAGTTAGTTCAGATAGGCAATATATGTACATAATCCGTTGGCCATAATAAATTAATTAACAAAATAAAAAGGGACAGCAGTAGCGGTCTCATTGATAAGAGTGAGCTGGAGAAGTGAAAAACAATGTATTTTTTTTATAAAACATTTTTTAATGAAAACAAAATCTCTTAAATCCAACTAAACTTTAACAACTGCATTAGAAATGATTTTCCTTAAAGTTTGCCGGGGCTCTATACTGCTCCTTAATGTGAGCCCGGTAGTCCTCATCATCGTCGTGGCACTCCTTGAAGCATTGAGTGCAAAATAGGTCGCCACCACATCCCTGGCAACGGAAATCGGCGTCTTCGTTGCAAATATTACACCAGGGTAGTTCTTCGGTGCCGGTACTGGGCACCTCAATTGCAGTTTCACTAGCTTCATTTTGCGGCACTGCCGACAAGTTCGATTCGTCCACATACTGATGATAGAAAGATAATGATTTAGCTATAACTTGAATCGTTAATTATTTTATTTACGTAATTAATGAATATGCTATATATTGGGAAAGGTATGCAATTTTGGGAACCAGCTAAGGTACAAGGTATTTGCGAGAATAAAAACCTAGGTAAAGTTAAAGGTACACGGTGTATTAAAAGGAACAAAACAGAATACAAAAAAAATGTTTTAATTTCATTTTTTTTATCAATTCGGGATGAATAAGATTATGTAGAAGTTGCAGTTGCATTTTTTATAAGCACCTAAAATACCTAAATAAAATATCAGATTAGGGAAACATTTAAAATATAATAAATAACTAATTAATAAACATAATCTTCAAGATGTAGAAACTATGTTACTTAGAATAAAAAATTATGAAAATTCAAAATCAAAATGAAACAAAAATAATTTAGTACCTAAATACCCAGTTTAAGTAAGGCAAAAAGTAGCAAAGTTTAGGTATAAGTATCTGTATCTAACTGTGAAAATGAGGCGAACTGAGAGCATGAGTGGAATGTTGTATATTGGTATACTAACCTTTTTCATTATATTCCTTAAAATGGTCTCGTCATCCTCTTCTTTGTCCGATAAGTTACTGCTCATATGGGATCTCGATGGGCCCGCAACGGAATCGACTGGTGTGTCGCGGAGTGCTAGCAGTCGTCGCTCAATCTCGGAAATTGACTCATCCCGTTGCTTGTCAATGTTTTGATCCAACTGGGTTTCCTCCACAAACTGAGCCAGCAAATCCCTCATTTTCTCCTGGTCATTTCTTTGGTCAGTGGATAGGAGCAGATCCTTTCTATCGTAGTTGACTTTATGCGGCATGCCGGTCAGGTTGGCGAGACGAGTGCGAATCTCGTCGTCCGTGGCATCCACTCTTTTGTAGTCCTGCATTCGCTTGGTCAGTGCACTATCCAGGTTTTCATCAATATCTCCATGGTTTTTGGAACTCGGCGATGAACCAACTGCAGCACTGGCTGGCACCAAAGCCGCGGGCAGTTCCTCCTGCGGCAGGAGATCGCTGTGTTTGTCAGGCAATGAGTTATACATTCAGTACAAGTACATATGTTATGTGCACCTACTCAAAGAGCTCGTCCAGGGCGCCCTCTGAATTTTTCGATCCCGGCGATGAGGGCTTCGCCAGATGCAATTTGGTGACCAGCACCCCGGGCAGGGCATCACAGTCTATCACTTTTTCGGCATCGGCGCTCGCCTGCAGCTTGGACAGCCTGTCGTAGCAGATGAGGCACACGTTCAGCACCTTTCCCGTGTGCCTGGGCACTGGCATCGGCCTTTTCAGGCACTTGGAGCAGAACGAGTAGCCGCAGTTCGGGCATCCATACTATTGGAGATTTTGGTGATTATTTATATGTAAACTCTTCTAATCCATCTGAGAATTAGCCATAGGACACTTGCCTCTTTGCAGAATAATCCGTATTTTCGCCCACAGCCAAAGCAGCTCATAGTAATGGGAAACCCAGATTGCAAATCAACATAAAAAATAACAAATACATCGAATTTTTTTCAAATTAGTTACTTCCAGTTAGGGATGGTCGCGTGAGCGACTCTTAAACAAAGACAAGTCACGACACTTCACGCGAACTAAGTTTTGGTGTATGAGGTCGACAGAATTCGATTAAATAATATTAAAAGCACACAAGCAGGAGATATCAACTACTCTTGTGTAAAGTGGCCTAGATTCTAGATTTCTATTCGAATCTTTAAGAGAAACTGAGAGTAGTCAAGGAGTGGTAGTTCTATTTCTCAGTGTCTTTTCCCATTTTTTTTTTTGGTAAGTTTTATAAAGGCAAAAACATATATTATTTTTCATAGGAAACAAACATATATATTTATTTTCTTTACGTTGTAAAGTTATTTATTAGCACTGTGCAACAGCTGATATGTCAAAAGCCCAACCATTCAACTGGCGGAATGGTTGGGATTTTTGACAGATGTGAAACACCAAATCTCACTGAGCCACTATTTAAAAACAGCTGACAATAGCGCCAAAGGAATATCATTCTTAAGGTAGTTTTTAACTTTAAATAAGTCTTTACATTCAATAGAACTTTTATATATTTTCGTCCTGAGCGATTTGATACTCTCTAAGGGTTTGTTAATAATCTATAATTTTACGTACATTAATTTTAATAATTCACTCTTTTTAATCAAAAGTCGATAGCACGGCATGATCCCGGATGCACATTCACTTGTTATCGATTGCCGACTCGGACTCTGCCCTAGTGGAATCGAGGCCTAATAAAAACAGATATTAAACGATAGGGTAAAGGTCTATCGACTGCCGTGGGGTATCGTCATCGCAATTGTTTTGAGGTGTCGAGAAGTCAATTGATAAATTACCGTTTTTACCATAATACAATTACAATTAATATCTAATCTAATCAACCACCTTGATAATATTATTTGACTTGATCTGTACAATATTAAGCACGGCAAGTAACTCAAAACAGATGAGGAACCCAATTGAAATGAGAGCAAACCAGTCGGGTTTAAGAAGCAATACACTTGCAATGTTTTATTGTTTCCAATGCGCATTTGTAAAAACCTTTGAATTGCATTTGATTGCAATCGCTGGCATTCAGTTTTTACATACGTATGCACGGAGTGTTTTGTGAGTGACAAAAATAATAAGTAAATGGCCTATAAAAACCGTTGCTCTCTAACAAGAACTGCTGAAATACATCATGTGACTTTTATGCCTTGTACCAATCGCTAATTGCGTTGAACGGGTATATTTTGTATTTGTTTAAAAGTATGTAACAGGTAGAAGGAAGCTTTCGTGACCTTATAAAGTACACATATGTGGTATATAAGTACATATGCGTGTACATATGTATACCCTGTTGTTCGTCAGGTCAAGTTTAGAACTATGTACGTAAATTGCATTTTTCTGATGAATAGTACGTGGCGTTTTCCTAGGTGAAAAGTCAATGCATCATTACCGTTAGCTGCTGAAAATGATGATGGGATGGGTAATATGTCCTCTATGCGGTGGTAATGGGTACAATAACAACTCCTCCGTCAATTTGAACAGATAAATGCTGATGGCTATGAAACTCGTAGCAACACTTTGAAATTACGTGTAAAAATATTTAATTTAATTAAGTCATTTGTCATATTTACCCCGCCGAGCATAGTTTGCACTCAGATTTGTTATAGGTATTCACTAATCTGTTAGATCTAAATGAACAAACTGAATAACAGTTGAACAGAAACTCACTGGAATTGAATTAATTTATAATCATAGAACTTTGTGTTGCAGCTCGAACGATTGATTGGACGTTGACTAGCATTCTGGGCATAACACCATGGAAGAGCCGAAAATGGCAAAGTCACCGGACCTGCCCACCACATCATCCGGATCATCCGGATCCACTTCGACCGAGAACGTTGGCTACGACAAAATAGCCTGGACCAGGGATATCACAGAGCCATTGTCGGAGGAGTCATCCACCAGTCAATTGCGACCGCTGGGCACATCGATGTCATCTGATTCGGCGGCAGAAGCAGCGAATACATCCAACACATCGTATTCCTTTACCGGGAACTACCTTTCCGGCGGCAACATTGCCGACCTAAAGTCTGGCGGCACCTCTTCGTCCGCTGGCCCCGAGAGTGCGTCGAAATCCAACGAGAAGGAACAGAGCAACAAGGACCAGAACGATGAATCCCTTTACGAGTGCAATATATGCCTGGACACGGCCAAGGATGCGGTGGTCAGCATGTGCGGACATCTCTTCTGCTGGCCCTGCTTGCACCAGTGGCTCTTGACGCGACCCAATCGCAAACTCTGCCCCGTATGCAAAGCAGCTGTCGACAAGGATAAAGTCATACCGCTCTACGGAAGGAATAGTACGCATCAGGAAGATCCTCGGTATGTTCTCTTTTATATATCGGCACTGTTCTGTGACTTACTTTGCCTAGTGCAAAATCAAAAGCCTTCCTAGTAGCCCAACTAGTTACCTCAAGAAAGATTAATTATTAAGGTCTAGTTTTCAACTGAATCGAAACCAACACAACTTTACAAAAAAAAAAAATAGTTTGTAAGAAAGCCGTAAAGAATTTAAAAAATATTTCAGCAGTTGTAAAAAGGTTAATCTCTCATCATTGCAATAATATAGTTTTTATGATCACAAAATTTGAGAAAGCCCTTAGGAGCTGAAAAATATTCCAGCAATAATAAAAAAAAAAGAGGCAATCTCTCAACTTTGCAAAAAGTTATTTTTATGATCAAACATTATTAAATGGGAAAACAAGAACGTTTCCGCGTATTGATTTTAATTTGATTAGAAATCAAAAAAGTTAATTATTATGGTCCCAAAGAATTGGAAAACATTCCAGAAATTGTCAAAAACTAACTAATTTTTATGATCGGAAAATATTCTAGGATTGATTGATTAATTTTATACAAATCATCCATCTACTCTATCAAAATAAAAAATATTTCAAGTTTTGTCAAGATCGCTTGACTCTACTTTCATTTTTGAAGTATTAGATTCAAAATTGTTTATCACACTGATCATACATTTTTAATTGTTTTTAAAAATAGATTCAAACATGGAACTTTTAATTCGCCATTTCAGAAATAAAGTTCCACCACGCCCTGCTGGTCACCGTACAGAACCAGAGCCTGTTCCTGGTTTTCCTGGATTTGGATTCGGAGACGGTTTTCACATGTCCTTTGGTATTGGCGCTTTTCCCTTTGGATTTATAACTTCATCACTTAATTTTGGCGAACCGCGTCCTGCTGGTAAGTTATTCCCTCCGCTGTAACAGATACATTGTTTAAATATTTTTTGTAACGATCTTGTTCCAAATTCAGCTGCTAATCGTGGCACAACGCAATACGAGGATGAGCAAACCCTTTCTAAGCTGTTTTTGTATCTGGCCTTTTTGTGTATCGGATGGCTGCTTTTTGCATAGCAAGCTGCTGACGCATAAAAACCACAAAGCGATAACAAGAACGTATATTCAAATGTGTATGGAATGCGTCCGAAGTAGTCATATAGCAGTATCCTCCAGTTAAAGCAACAATATTCTTAAAAACGTTGGGTAAAAATCGTTGGTGTGATTAATCAAAATAATTGGAATACTTTTCGGATTAAACTGTACTTCGAGCATTTGTAAAAGCGTTATTGACATGTGAAATCCGAAAATATTTCATCAATTTCGCGTGTCCCTATGACCTTCAACATACCAGATTGAAAACTTAAAATCATTTCTTCGGTATGTTCTCGGATTGCATTGATTTAGTCAAAAAAAAGTAGTTGTCAAAAAATGTAAAAATATAATTATAATAAAATCAATTAAAAAAAAAAAAACAAAGGCCCTTATTTTCAGGAATTGTACAAATGCTAAAAACATTGCATAGCAGGGTAAAATGCAAAAAAAATAATTTATGGTTTACACATTATTTTTGTTTTTGTTATATATTTAGGAGGTTAATTCTTGGGTGTTCTTATGTAGCTGAAACTTGGTTTGTGAATCGTCTGTGTTAAGTTGTATAATAAATACTGCTTTCTATTATAAGGTTTTTTTTAGGAGAAAGGAGAAATTTATATAAGTTGAGAAAATAATCCGGCTGTTGTTGTTTTGAAAGCCATTCAACTTCCCAACCTTTAGCAAAATATCGGAATTATGTCGCAACTAAGCACATATAGACAATGGGCAAAAAAGATAGATACGAAAAATTGTAAAAAAAGTAATTAAGTTTATTGCTTAACATTAAACTGCACAACATTCTTGTTAACTTGCAATGGCCGTTGCCTCAAGAGCAAAAAAACACATATAATAAAACCGGTCGCTACTTAAAATATCTTAGCTAAGCTTGGCGTTCGGCGAAAGGGATTCCACGAACTGGACGAAACGCTTCCAGCGGTTCGTGAATTGGTGGACGTCTTCAGGTGGAGCTTGGGCTTGGCCGCAATACTTGTGGGACTGGGAAATCCGGATGATATACCCGATGAGCTGGCCGCCGATAGCGTTGATAATGAACCTTTCGACGACAATGGCTGGGTGTAAAAACAAATGAAATTGAGTGTGTAATTCCGGGATGTGCTCAATGGGACTAACACACCTTCAAGTAGTTGCGATCCATGGGCGTTATGACCCTCAATTCAAGTGTGGAGCCACAGGACTGTATTAGCTGCACCACCTGCTGATGAGAGTACCACTTAACATCCATGCCGGCTATTTCGACTATGAAATCTCCTTCTTTGATGCCGCCAAGCTGCAACGACATTGAACCACCAAAATCTGCAGTCAATCTGGGTAATCGAACACAGCACCATTTACTTACGTCGGCCAGCGAATTGATCTCGACATGCGCAATGATGACTGGTGCATCGCCGCGCACATGAAAGCCGAAATTCTCAAACTCTTCCTTATACAGATTAAATCCACCATCGTGCTCCTCGTCATCGTTCTCCAGCGGACACTTATTATTGTTGATGGGGGGCACGTTGTGGTACGAGGAGGATCCCTTCTGCAAGCGCACACATCTCGGCGCTGTCCAGTGGCGTCGCGCAGAAAATATTGCAATGGGTCCGAGGCGCTTGAAGGGATCCTTAACCTTGTGCGATGTGAAATCGGGTCCCGTCAAGGATAACGTAAATTTTGAAGAGGCTGAGGATGGCATAATGGTGAAACTTCGTACAATTATAGATCACATGGCATACATACCTTCAACGACCCGCTCCAGAAGGTCGCCCTCTTCGATGTTGTTGGCCGACGCCTGCAATCTGAACTTCTCGAACTCCTCCTGCGACTTGGAGTGCAACTCCTTCATGACTTCAGTAAGCGACGTCTTGTTCTTGAGAATGGACAAACATAAGTAAGGATATCATGTATACATGTATGAAACAGAGTGTGATGAATTGAGAGTGATATTAAAAGAAAGCTTTCATAAATAACATTTTACTTTTTATCTAATAATTTATAGCGATCTAAAGCTTAAAAAAAAATCCCCTTTCCATTATAAAAAAAAAGTGGTTTTGCAGAAAAGTAACTTAAAACCAGCTCACTTTAAACCCATTTCTTTTCTTACAAATATCCGATTCGGAAAAGGCATGCTTTAAATTTCTATTTATAAATGTTGACTGACAAAATTTCAAGCAATTCTTTTGAACATTTAACTAAAACCTTAGCTATCCGAATTCGAAAAGGCATAAATATAAAGGTGTTTTGGTTTCATTTTCTACAAATTCGCACTTAAATGTTGGTTTGTAATTTTATATTGTTTTTTTTTTTTATTTCATACCTTTAAAAAATTGTTGTTTTAAATATTTAAAAATCTGCATTTAAATGTTTTTTGTAATTTTTAAACGATTTTCTTGAAATTTTTATGATTTGACCTTAAAGCAGTATTTATTTATTTAATTTATTATTTGTGGTTAATTTTCTAAAAATCTTCGTTTAAATGATGACTGTTAATTTTTAATCGTTTTTTCCGAACTTTTAATGTTGTATACCCTTTTTTTCATATAAAAGATTTGATGAAAAATATGCAACTTACTCTGCTTTTCAAATATTTAAAGATATAGCAGATAGAGAAGTTTTTTCGTTCTTATTTTTATAAACTGCAAACTAAGTTACAAATTCCTTTTAAATTTTTGACAACGATTTCTTAAGTTTTCTCTTTTCTGCGGCAGCCAGTTAAAAACAGATAATTAAACAGACTCTATAAATAACCCAAAAAAACCCATATTTTTGGGTCTTACCGTTTGGAGGGACCTTCCAATTTACATTGTATTTACCTTTAGGTACCGGCACATCCGCTGCAGTCGCTGGGCTTCCTCGTTACTGGCCAGAGCTTCCTTCAGGTGGGCCAGTTTGTTAGCGACGGAGGTGGCGGCCTCTTCGCTGGAGATGCACTCCACCTCCTGTGAGTTGCCAATGAACGATTCGGAGGACAGTCTGGGTTGGTCCTTTTGGGAGGGCAGGGATACCTTCAGCTCCTCCGTTGCATCTATGCTGCGTGCCTTGTAGAAGTGTGCGAACGCTAACAACGCGAATGGCGGTTAGAATGTGGTTTACTTCAAATGATAGCACCTCTAGTTACCTTTGTAGAGTTCCGCCTTGACCGGCACCAGTCCAGCCCAGCACTCGGGCAGATAGGTATGTGTGTCGTTCGCCTGGATGTTCTTGTGCATTTCATTGTACTCGTGCGATATCTGGGCAGCCTCTCCAGCTAGATCGCGATACGCCTGTCGCGGGATTGGATTATATATGTATATAGTATAGCTGGGTAATTCAACAAACTGTAACACCTTTCTTATTTATATCTAATGTGGCTTACATTCTTCCTAGTGTAGAGTGAATGGTATTCTATAAAATGATGGCGATAGCAATAAATTACCACTTTCTGACTTTAATTGGTTTACTCATGCACTTTACTTTGGTCAGATGTTTGTAACGCATTGAAATTGGTAAAAAAAAAAAAAAATACCAATTGATTGCAACTTTAATGCTGAAATCTAACATTCTTTATCAGGAATTTGAAACATTTTTTTTCTTCAGATTTTGACAAAGGACTGATGACCTTAAAATTTAATCCCTGTTTGATTTTGAAAAATTCCTTTTTTTTTTGCAAGTTTTTCCATTTTCATAAGGGATCATGATTTTTTTTTTTGATAATTGGGCTTAAACAAAAGTTTTTTTATTTATTAGGAATTTTAAACAAAATGCAATTTTTTTTTAATTTATTTGCGTTGTTTGACTCTTTTGGGCAGCTTATAACCTAATCGATCGTGCAATGTATTCTATTATCAATATGATGTATGGAAGGATCGATTACGATTTGTTTTGGAAGGGTGTTAACCTTCCACCAATAACGAGAGACCAGATTAACCGACCAATTTGGTATATTATCAATTTCCTGTCTTATAATTGATAATACTTACACAACTGAATTCGGTGAGACCTATCGCCTCAATTTGCAGCTGTAGCTTCTCAAACAAACACTCCCGGGCCTGGGAAAGCATTAGGGAGACGAGGACATCAAGGACCTGCGGTTTCAGGTCCATCGAAGGGGCATTGGTGAACGTGTCGTAGATGTGGCGAAATACTCCCGCGGCACGTAGAAAACTATCGACGGCCAGGTCGAGGCCCCGCTCGGTGGTGCGATCGTGGCGGGCACCAATCTGGGTGTATATGCCTCCCAGGTTGAACAGGGTGCAGGCCTTCTCGAAGGCAATGGTCCGCTGGCACGAGGGCACGCCCGTAAGTGAGTCATACCACTCAAAGTACACGCCCAAATTGCGATCCGGCGGAAAGAATCGACGTTCCACGTAATACAGCGTGTTGTAGTAGCGGAAGAGCAAGGCGACTCCAAGGGCGTCGCGTGATGGTGTTTTGGATGCCTTAATTGAATCGGATCACCATCGAATCATTTCTTACTTCTATGCTATTGAGGGACAAATCACTCACCTGTCTCGTATCCGTCATATCTGCTATGGCGTCTATATATATGGAGGGCTCCTCGCTGTAGTGCTCCAAGATAAAGTCCGAAAATGGTTCCATAAAATTGATTTCCTTGGTTTCCTTCAAACCCAATGGTATCATGGGCATAATTCCATTATGACTGTTGAATATTTACAAGTGAATCATTCCAAATGTGTTCAACGAAATTATTTATCGTATATCACAAATTAAGTAACATTAAATGAAAAGTAATATTTCCTTGATATATGTATGTTAATAGGTGTTTCTGGTGCACTCCTTAACAATTCTTTATTTGAAAAACTATTTTAAAAAAATTTTTTTTTAATAAATAAAAAAGTTTTGAATTTGTTTCCTTTTTTAATTTTAAGATATAGTAACAGATAAAAATCTTAATACAGTTTTTAACATTTTCTAAGATAAATCGTTAGACCAAGAAATAATTTTGAAATGGGTGTTTGTTTTCGTAAGGTAAGAAATCTTACCTTTCACTTTGATAGATTTCCACCGATGAATTCAATTCGGCTAACTGCTCCTTCAGCAATTGCAAATTTGAATTGACGAAGCTCAGTTCCAGGGCGACTGTGTCCCGCAGTTTGCGGTTTGAAGTGGCCTTAAATGGATGGAATTTAAATTGAACTTTAATGTAACGGATTTGCAAATGTAAGCGAAAAGATATATACCTTATATAGATTCTCGGCTCCAGCTCGAAGGCGCAGTTCCTTGTTTATCTCTTTGTTTAATTTGCAGCGCTTGTTTTGCAGTTTGCTTCGGCATGTTGCAGCTCTTGGATCGGAACCCTGAAGGATATAGATGGTATAAAGTCAGTTAAAAAAAAAAAAATCTCAAAAAAATATTGATTATTAAAAAAAGTTCTCTTTTAATTTTGACTTTGTAACATTTAAGGTTCCTCTGTATGTTATAAAAATCACAAATGATATCCTCTAGCTCAAATTTGTAAATTATTTATTTTAATAGTAATTATATTATAACTTGAATTTAACACCCCCAAGCATTTAGCTAAGAAAGTATCAATGCAGGTCCTCGAATGTCCTTAACTTTGTTTTTCCATAAGGCTTTTAGTCGGAAAACTTAGACAAGGCTTTTGATATAATATTACTGATATTGGTATACAAAACATAAAAGCTATTTAATTCATGACTTTTCACGATTTGGCTAATCGTTAAGGATATAAACTTATATACACTTACCCGAACGAAACAAAACGACAATTCATTTTGCTTCTCGTCATCTTCATTATCCTCGTTCTGCCCAAAACTGGCGTTCTTTCCATCCATGTCTGTATCCATTTTGAGAGCTCCAATATTAAACATTTCCGGATCCAATTTAACTCCTTTTGACTGCCACAGCAGGGTTGTTTACACTATTCAATAATAAACTACTTTTAGTTTAGTGTTTACTACATTTGAATAATTATTGTAAAAACTTTAATGGGTCACTCACTCTTATAGCTATTCTTTTTTTTACACAATAAGTGGGTCTATTTTAGATCTTAAGATCGTAACCACAATATGTATTGATCTTATTGAAATTGAATTCCAAGAAAAAAAGCACTCGAATTCTTAAGCTTCACATTGCACCTTTGACTTTGAAAACATGACGAAGAGAATCAAAATATCAAATACTCCTGCACTATAAAAAAAAATATATAGAACGGATCTATGACTTGTAAATGGTGTTGCTTTGATTTATATTTATTTAGTTATATGGTTCAAGTCGCCATTGGTAAGTTTTTAGGAGGACGAACTTTAGTTAAATAGTGTTTAGTTTAATTTTGCTAGTCCTACTTATACTAGTTCCTTCCATAATGATCCTAAAATTGCATTCAGATTTGTTTTAGAAATAATGCATTTATCACAAATTGTCATTAGCTTTATTTTGTTTCAGTGTATTTCAAGTTACAGGGGATTTGCATCTAACAGATAAAGTTTTCTAGGACACAGAGATTGGACTTTGGTTGGGAGAAATTTATGGTACACCCGCGAATAAACCAATCGAAATCTTGGGCCTACACTGAAAAACAATAGGAGTTAATTTGCATTTATTGATCTTCCTCTTTTAATTGCTGCATTTTTCGATCTTTTGTTATTGTTGTTGTTGTTGTTGATAAACACCTGTCAGCACGTCGGTGATATTTTCTATGTTGATTTCACGTATTCAAAGAGCCAATCAGATTTATAGCATAAAACACAAGACACAAAACACAATATCGTGAATGGGGATCATATCTTTAAAGGGGGGAGGTGTTTCGCCACTAGTTTCACTATCTTATTCTGGCGTTCCAGCGTCTATGACATATTTATGATAATCCGTTGCGTTCCACATCATCAATAGCATACTTTTAAAGCACTGTTATGGCACAATTATTGTATATACATATTTACATTGTGCGGAGTATAAAAAATTCGTGGAGTTTTAACAAAAACTCGCAATGGCCATTTGTTGGCCACAAATTGTCACAGTTGTATGTAGTTGTAGTTGAGTGCTTCTAATCAGTGTAATATTATTTACACTGATTAAAAAGCATTTGAATTTATTATCAGATATGTTCAACTGGTCGCCACTACACTTTCCACTATTACCAAAAAAAAAAAAAGCAACAGGTTACTGTTACCTGTGGACAACCGAATCGCCAGGTACGAGTTTCCGAATCACCGTAAAGTCTCAAACTGGTTATTTACTCAAGCCTAACTATTTGGGGCCAGTGTGACCGCCACCTGTCCGTTGTAATATGCCATCCGGTTTACGAATACAAAAAAAGTGGCTTTAAATATTTAAAAAAAGTTTAAACACATTTTAAGCCAACTTAAAGCATATATTCGTGACTGTTTCGTGTGAAAATATGGTTTGACTAAAAGTTGATTGTTAATTAAGCTGTTCTAAAACTATTTTTATAATCTTCGTTAAAATAACTAACTTTTTATGTAAACATATTTTTGTTATCTGGTGTGAACCTGTTCTATCGCGTTCATTTGATTTGCATTACTTTTTTGACAAGCCAATCGTTAAATTAAATTAATGTAAGCAAACTAAATAAATAAAAAAAATAAACGATTTACTTTGTTACATATGTTTAATTATTAATTATAATTGACATTTTTTAGTTTACGTTCGTATCTTGGGTTAAAAACCCTTTAATTATTTTAATCTAACTTCGTATTTGTTCCAATTTGAATCTAACTTTTTTTTAATTTCCCAATTTAATTACTTAAAAAACCGTAGACACGATTAGCTTAAGTTTTTATTGGTTTAAATAGTCAAATATACGTTTGACGGTTAAATATTTTGTTTCAGTTTAGCCAGTGTGACCGTAAACCGATAACACATAAAACTTTCAAGAAATAATTGAGTGAAAGTGGTATTATTATTTTTTGAGCCTGAGTACGCCTTGTATTAAATTTGAAATCTTGTCCTCAAATCGTATGGAACGATAACATATCGATTAATGTCATCTAAGCAAAGCGGTAGACTTGTTTATTTGTGAAGCCAAATATGGACCTGCAGGGATTTATGCAGCAGATGTACAGTGGTGCACCGGCCATGCCCATGATGATGCCGCACCCGCTCCCGCTCCCGAATGGCTACGGATACGGGATGGCCCCTGGACAACAGCAGCCCTTTTGTCCGTTTCCCCCCAACGGAAGCTACGGAAGCAACTACGACCGGATTGTGGACAAACTGGAGGACGAAGACGAGGAGGAGAACGAGCAGCAGCGGACGCTCTTCTGTGGAAATCTCGACGAGCGCGTCACTGAGGAGATCCTTTACGAGGTCTTCCTGCAGGCCGGTCCCATCGAGGGTGTGCACATACCCACGGACAACACGGGGCGGCAGAGGAACTATGGCTTCGTTACCTACCAGCACCTGTGCGCTGTGCCCTTTGCCCTCGACCTCTACCGTGGCTTGGAGTTATTCAACAAGAAATTGACCATCAAACAGCGGGGCGTCGACAAGGCCAAGCAGTCGCCATTGCCATCGCCATCGCCATCGCTATCCTTCAACCAAAGTCGCCTGCGCAACCCGTTCATGGTGGAGTTGCCATCCCAAGCGCCGCCTACGGCCCTGCCCCCGCACCACTATCATCGCCACAGTTTGCATGGCGCCAAGCCCTACGACCGCAATCCGTTTGGCAACAACGGGGACCAGCGGCGCCGCAGCGACAGCTCCGCAATGGAACGCAGCCGGCCGAGGATGCAGCCGCAGCAGCACCACCAGCACATGCAGGGCGGGAGCAGGAGGTCGGACCAACGGCACAACAACAAGCGCCGATTACTTTAGAATCTAAGTAGCCTTTAATTACATCCATAAGTTAGTATACAGTCAAGATCACCAAGGAGTCCTCATGATCTTGTTTATCCAATCACCTTAAGTGTTAAGGATTCCGCCCAACTCCTAGTGTCTGTAAGCTGGCTATCGACACATGAGACTAAGAGCAAGAAGGTACACAAATTTCACTGTTTCATAATATTTTCACTCCCATCTTAATAGATGGGAGTCAATCTTGGCTCGTGCTCCCATCTTCGTGATTCAACTGAAACCAACTTGCAAGAAACGCAATCCGTACGGAAACATACAAAACAACATGGAATAACATGAGAAACAACAATGTATTTAGTAGTCCTTAAGGTTAAAAATACATAAGCCAGGTTGCTTACAAAAAATACAAATATATTGAAAGCAAACCCCACTCTTAAATTTTAGAATTTTGGTCAAAAAAAGCTAAAGAAAGTCGCCAAAATAGATACCGTCAAAAATTATGGATTATTTTTAGGCGCTTCTTACAAGGCAAATATCAGAAATCTTAAGAACTATGTTTTATTATCGACTATTCTTGTGATTTATGGGTCTGGCGAATCTTTTTTATACCCTTGCAGTTTTTTATAAGTTTGCAATGCAGTGAAGGAGACATTTCCGACCCTATAAAGTATATATATTCTTGATCAGCATCACTAGGCGAGTCGATCTAGCCATGTCCGCCTGTCCGTCCGTTTCTACGCAAACTAGTCTCTCAGTTTTTAAGCTATCTGCATGAAACTGTTCCAAAAGTTGTTTTTCTATTGCAGGCAGCGGATCGGACGATCGGAAAAATAAATGAAAAAAGTTATAACTGTGCTGTTTTTTAATCTACGGCTTAAATTTCATCAAATTCCGACAACTGTATCATATAGCTCCCATGGAAATAATCAAAATATAAAAAAAAAATTTAACTTTTTTTACATAGTAATTTAATGGTTCAGAATTACGCTTTTAATATTATTCAAATTGGAAAACGTTATCGTATAGCTGCCATAGAAACGATCAAATAATTTAGCTGAAAATCTTTATATCCTCAATGTGTTTAGATATATACGCAAATAAACAAAAATTCAAATGTTTTCAAGAATATTCCATTTTTAAAATAGCTGCAAGGGTATATGAACTGCGGCTTGCCGAAGTTTGCTTCCTTTCTTGTTTTTTTTGATTAAAAATGCAGCAATTCATAACAAGGTAAACTTTGGAAAAATTTATTGAATTATTCAAGGGTAGTAAGTCTTCTTGTATCTGTTCTCCCGACTTTTACCACGGATCGCCCGTGGCACGTACACCTTGTCGTGCTGGTCGAGTGTTCGTCGCCAGGGATTTACTTCCCGCTCAAAGAATCGACGTTTGGGCTCCATGGCCCGATTGTTATTATCAATCTTGTATATTTTCTCCCACATGTAGAATTCAGGTATCTCCAGATGACGCGGTCGGTTTGAGGCCAGATATTTAAAGGTCTTAGCAATAAAGTCACGTTGTTCGGTGTTCTCATACGCGGATATGTCGGATGCTACATACGGCTGTAGCTCCTCGTTGGTCCTCTGAATACTTGGCACGTTGGCATAGAAATTCAGCAGCTGCCGCAGTGTGGCATCGTTGAAGTCCACGCACTTGCCGTTTGTCGCAATCTCTGCGTAAAGTGGCAGAGGCTTCGTTCCGCGACAGAAGTTTACGCGCGGATTATCATCCTGGTGGTTGCCGTGCAGCAGCAGCGTATTCAATTGATACTCGTAAAAGCTCCACTCCCTGCCGTTCGTGATTACAGTTTGGGTGTTCATGGGATAGGTGAGTTCGTTGTAGGTGTTGAAGCCATTGTAGTTGGCCTGGGCCAAAAGCCATGCATAAGACGATTTGATGGCCAGCGAATGAAGAGCCTCCTGAAGATCGCGTTCGCCAAACGATTTCGGTCGCAACTGGAAGTGAGCCCGCGATTGAAATGAGAGCAGTCCGAAGTTCTGTTCATTACCCTTGGGCCAATAGCCTGGCACATTGGTGGCATGCTGATGCTTGGTGCTATAGCCAAGGGTGCGCGGATCGTGCTTAAAGCGGGGCACTTGTTTGCTCAACTCAATATCCTCGCTTTCCGCTGGCGTTTTCCAAGGCAGCAGTTGCTTCCGATGGCGCAGAGACAGATACGGTGCTCCCGTGTACTGCACCAATCGATCTACGCTCTGGTTTGCATCTTCCTTTTGCCACTCCCTGCCTTTCTTGGAGTTGCGCACGTTCTTGGGCGGATCTACGCCGCCAACCGCCCAGAAGGCTTCGTGGCGCGGATTGTAGTCGACCTCGACCTCATCCAAATGCTTGTGCTGCTCGCTGAGAGCCTGCAGCACGGCTCGGTTGAGCTGTTCCACAATGATCTGCGTCAGCATGCGCTCCTGTTCCACGGCACTTGGTTGGCCACCATTGGTTAGCTTCTCCAGATGCCTGCGCTTGGTAATCAAAAGAATATTTATTATATCAGAGCGGCTAGTTTATGATATTGGGCCCCTTTTGCAACAGCTGAATTCTCATCTGGGATTTATAGTGGGCCAATCAGATGATAACTCAGATGGGTTAAAAGGCGGCCTTTGCCTGACTCACTTGTAGTAGTCATGTGCAAACTCAAGGGCTTCAATGACATCCTCACGGACCGCCTTAAAGTCAGCATCCTCGCTGGGCTTGTCGCCTTCTTCCTTGACCGCCTGTGATCCTGATCCTGATCCTGTCGCCTGTGGCAGATCCTCCAGCACAGTTCGCGTGTAGTGTTGCGTGAGCGGCAGTGCATTGTACGGAATCTTGGAGTCGTTGAAGTCAACCACTTTGTAGCCGTAATAGCGGGGCATATTTATTTTGATTAGCTTCTCCTCCACCGTCGGCACCTTGCGAATCTGCTCGTGCCACTCGGAAGCATCTCTTTGCTTGCGGGCCTTGAACGACGGATTCTGGATCTCCGGATACGCCGGCTCCGCAGAGTACTCCGAGTCCGCCACATTCGCTTGCAGCGACTGTCCGGCCAAACAGCGCTTGTACGTCGTTCGCAGGGGGTTTACAAGGCTCAGTCTCAACATATCGCCAACTTCAACGCAAGTTGCGACTTACGTTTTGGGACGAACAAAATTCAGTTTACTTAACAGACATAAACGAGGTTATGTCATTACTGTTGACGTAGTGTGACCGAATATAAGCTTAAATGTCACTAATAAATGCATGCGTCTATATAGCGACGGTCAAGTAGCTACGGAGGTGGAACGATGGAATGTGAAACAAAGGGGGTTTTTTACTTTTCATTTTCTGGCATAGGTTTCCTTTTTAGCTTATTCTTTATAACTTTAGATAAAGATCGAATGTTGGGTTCGATTCCAAGTATTCTATGACATAATCACATACTAAAGGAGCCAAGGCTTTAACGTACATACTTAACTTACTTACTTATTCAGCAATCGACTAGGCCGTTGGGAATAACAGCATCTGGGGGCTTACACGAATTGACACTTTTTATTTCTTAAAATTAGAAATCATAGAAGGTGCTTACTTTTGAAAGGCCAATCTTTAAAGAATCAACATGGATGCCATGTAGTGCGAATTCTCATTTTGTGTTTAAGAAATGTATTTTGGTTGCATTTTTAAATGTATACCTTTAATTTACCTTAACTTTAAATAAATAAAAACTTGATTTGTTCCCTGTTTAAATAAATAAAACGGATAAATTTTAAATAAAACAATTTCAAAGTTGCTACATCACCGTTTCAATTTTGATGCTTATTTGAACATTTAGTATATTTTTTCTGAGAACGTTGGCATATTTGAACGGTCTTGCTGCGGTCACACTAATCGCGCATTGCAAAAAAAAATATGCACAAGTCCAGTCAAGTCAATATTCCGCATAAAAGCTAGTTAAAAGAGTAAACAACATAACGGCGCCGTTTATGCGAACATCTATCGATTGTGTTGCCTACCACTACCACCGACATCGACATCGAACGCATCCTGTGCTGCTTGCAAACTGCGTGCCAGAGTAAATCCACCGGGACGCAGCAGAAGCCAATGCGCTGTGGTTCAGTCCGCCGCCTCATTCATCCGCATGCTGAATCCGAATCCGAATCCGAGAAGAAGTCCCAATCCGAACTCTCCAGCAAAATGAATCCCTGCGTGCTGCCCACTCCGTTGCCCGATTTGGATGGCGACAAGCGCTGGCACAGCATACACCGCCGCTTCCTCTCCGACTGTCGCGAGAAGGATCCGGACGTCATATTCCTGGGCGACTGCATTTTCGAGGCGGTCCAGGATAGCGAGGCGTGGAACCAGTACTTTGCACCGCTGCACTGCCTTAACTTTAGCATACGGGACGATTGCACCGAGCACGTCCTCTGGCGCATCGAAAACGGAGCTCTGGACAATGTGAATCCGAAAATCGTGGTCCTCCATGTGGGCACCAACAATGTGAGGAACAGTGCCGAAGAAGTGGCCGAAGGAGTTCTGGCCAACGTTTCCAAAATACGCCAAAAGCTGCCCAACGCCTATATTCTTCTTCCCGTAAGCGATCTCTATCTCTATCTACCCTACCCAATTATGTGTGACTGACTTTCTACTACTTCTACTACTACTGCTGTTACTTTTACAGTCTCTTTTGCCGCGAGGACAGCAACCGAATAAGCTGCGCGAAAAGAACGCGACCATAAACGAACTGGTCAATGGACTGACCAAGGGCCAGTATCGCGTACAGACAGTTGCCATTGATACGGGACTGGTGCAGAGCGACGGCAGCATCAGTCATCACGATATGTTCGACTATAAGAACCTTACCAATGCTGGAGCGAAAAAAATTCTTGAACCCCTATACGACTTGCTTTCGCAGATTCTCAACGAAAACGAACCGGAAAACGATCTCACACCCTCCGAATAAAGTATAACCATTCAGCTATCATCTTCATCATCAACACGATCATTATAATAACCCATAAACAATTCCCAGAATGAATTAAAACAAATGTATTTTTTGAAATCTCAAAAGCAATGGAGCTGCGAGTAAATCTCACAATTAACCATAAGTTTTCTTATCGAATAGTAAACATTCGCATTATACCATTTGCAAAATGAAAAAATTTCACATTTATTTATAAGACAAAACATGATTGTAACTGTTACCCAGCAAGCATCAGAAAAAAAAAAACTTCTTAGTTATTTATAAAATATTTGCTGCAGCCAAAATCATATTCCAAACAAAACAATAGCTGTTACCATCTCGTTATTAAAAGACATTTAGTTATAATAATTTCCCTACGAAAGAAATATAAAAAGCTTCGTAAGCCTTAAAATTAAACAAAATATTGAATTTAATAAGCGTCCAAAATGTTGCGGTTTTTTAGTAGCCTTGCAAAAAAATGTGAAAAGAAAAACGATTTTCTTGAGTTTTATTAAGGGGTTTGATTTATTTTTAATTATTTTAATAGTACTAGTTTGCAAGAATACAAAATATTTAAGAAGCTCCTATTGTCTATTTCGGTAATAGTAGTTGATCTTGTGCTTTAGTATAAAAAATTAAAGATTGAGAGTAAAGTTATGGGTATTCAATATGTAAGAACTTTTTTTGGTTTCCGTGAATTTTTTATTTTCTGGGAATTTTATTTTCCAAGAAATTTGTATCCCATGATTTAAGGAAACAGACTCAGTAGACTTGGAAAGTAATAGATTGGAAACAATATTTATTAGTGCTCAGTATTTCATTTAAAGTATTCACAAAGCTTCAAAATATTCCTGACGAAAACAGGTTTGGCCAGCAACTTATTTAGATCAAAGACACAAAGCTGCGTATTCCCGGAAAGCCCCTTCTGCCGTGCACGCTGTTCTGCGACGGGAGTTCTTTACTAACTGTCACTAACTGTCCCCGATCCAGTACAATCACCATGGTAAGAAAGTTATCCTTAGGAGCTACGTGGGTCTAACGCATCGAAAAGAAGCATTAAAAGTTGTATTTTTTTAACAATATTTTTGCTTAAATTATTTGGTACATGTTGATACATTTTTGCTTAATATTAAAACAAAAAGTGGTGACAATTTTTGAAAATATATTTAATTCTTTGGCGTTTTAAAAAATTATATAGTTATTTAAAAGTGAAAACTAAATTTTTTTATTTTTAATTTTAAAGTTGCATGATTTTTGTTCGTGGAACCTTTTTATCTGCTCGACCATGTCGCCGACTAGTACACCCTGGTGTACATGGAGCACCATCCGGAGCATTTTGGCCAGGCAAATGTTGCGGCGATCATGGAAAAGGTTCGCTGTGCCCTCAAGAATCGCATGGTCGAGCTTGTGGGCTTCTGTGTGGCGGACTGTCACGATTTGGAGTACAAGCGGGATGTGTTCGTGACCTTTGAGAGCCTCAAGGAAGCGCTGATCGGCGCCATTGGCAGCCTGATCAGCGACCACGAGATGGAACACTTCCATCACATCAATCCCACCAACCAGTCGTTCATGCCCGACCTCAACTTGCCCCTCAACTTGCCATCGGCGACCGAGAAGAACAATGACACCATTGGGAGGTCAGGATAATGCCACCATCGGTGGCTGCCGACCCGGAGTTCCACAGGCATGAGAATCCACAGCACGTCACGTGGTTAAAAGGTTCATATTAAGGGGCTAGGCGATCGGGTTTTATTAAGTTAGCTTGGAGTATTCTTTGGCCGTTCCACATTATCTGGTTGTTACTTATTTTTTCGGGTTAAAAAATATATCTAAAAATCTGTGTTTAGTTTGAAATATTAATGTGGGACTAAACCGTATTTTATTCATTTTAGCCAGTTAAAAATTTAAAATTTTTGGTCGGACTGATTGATTATTTAAAGGAATTTAATTTCAACAAATAGGAATTTTTAAATAATTCTTAAGGCTCTTTTTTTGTTTTCTTTAATTAATAATAATTTACAAGTTAAACTTGAGACAAAAATGAAATTATAACAAATATATGTAACAATGAATTGTTATTCAATTGTTGTGCTAAACATTTTTTTTGTTTTTTGTACTCTAAATGTTATATACATTTTTAAAGAAGATGTTTTTCCCCACAAAACATGTGTTCTGTTTTTTTTTATGTTAAAAAATGTAGGTCCAAATAAAAAAAAATTAAGATAAGTCAAACTAAAAACAAAAATTCAACTAAATTTGATATTTAAATTCTGAATTTAATATAGAACTCTCAATAAAATATTTTGTGTAAATTCATTTATAGTATTTATATTGTAATATTAAAAAAATGTAGGTTGCTTAAAATGATAACTAAATATGTTAACAAGGTATTCGGTTAGGCAGTAAAATAATTTTTTTTTCTATCTAAAAATAATTTGTTGGCACAAACTAAAACTAAACGAAATTTAAGCATGTGAATTTACTTACGACTCTAAAAACCGCATTTACAGTTGCGGTAAAAATATTACCATTTTCATTTTCTGATAAAGCTTACTTTTTACTATACACAACAAAAAGACAAAAGCATTTTATTTTGATTCAGTTCTAGGACAGTTATAAATGTTAATGACTTACCAAATTTCACCTCTTAAAAAAATCTATAAAAATATATCGAATTTTGAGAAAATCACTGTAAGATTTAATGTACTTAACTTAGGCTAAAAAATATTTATTATTTGAATTAGTTTTAAAATTTTAAATGTTAAAAATCGTTATTTTTCACAAATTATTTCAAGAATTATTTACAATATATAATTAACGTTAAATGAAGTATTGAATGTTAGTAAGTTTATAGTATTATCCTGCAGAAAAAAATTTTAAGGTCGAATTCAAATTACTTAGCTTTAAAAAAAAGGTAAAAAATGCTATTATTTTGACCGTAGCTGTATATTATCGGTTTAGAATCACTAGACAAGACGAAACAAGTAGCTACGCAAAGTCTTTTAAAAATTCCAGGACTTTTTACATATGAATATGCCATAGGAACGATCGGAAAATTAGTAGGAATATCGAACTATATTGTTTATATAGCACCTTTTTCTTTAGTTAAATTTCTTTTTTTTATTATTACTTACTATTATAAACTTCGGCATTCCGAAGATTGCTTTCTTTCATGTATAATCCGAAATGATATAACATTATCTTTGATTTCTATTTGAATGCAATACGTTTATCAGATTGTGATTATAAAACATAAAATGTATTTAAACACACTGACTATATTATTTTATTTTTTGGAATCCCATCGTTCGAGAATTGTGTCTAATTCCGGCGAGATGGGCAATTAAAGACATCGTCTCGATTTTGGCAGGTTTTGGTTTCCCGATCGAACCACTCATTCCTCGGGCAATTGTGGCGCTTGGCCCGATTTTTCTGGCAGATATAGTAGCGGCGGCAATGTCGCGGATCCGTCAGATATTCACCATCCTCTACACCACGGCAATCCTGCGAAGATCTCAGTACATCCAACCCAATGGGCATTTCCTCGTACACATCACTTGGCGCCGGGGTTACGGCCTTTGGTTTTTTCGTTGTCGTTGGCGGTTTGCTTGTTGTTGTGATGCAGGTGGTGGTTAAGGGTCCAACTGTCGTTGCCGCCGCCGGCACCGGCCTCAACTCTCCGCCACCGCGATCGCCGTTAAAGCATCTAATCAAACCGGGTAGGTTGCAGGACTGAATCTTCGGGTCGAAGTACAGCCCACTGGAGCACTCCCGCCGGATGGCCTTGCCCCGCTGGCACATATAGAAGCTGGAGCAACTGGCCGGGTCCGCAAACGAGAGATCATTGAATCGGTCCGAGCACACGGTATCAAGTGCCTCGATCAAGTCAACCGCCGAGGAAAGTGCGATCACAAGCGTTAGAAGGCGTACATTGTCTGGAGATTGGAAAAAAATCGGAATACAATATAGTTTAAGTCGCGACAATTATTGTTTTTACAATTATCTTTTCTTATCAATTTAAGCTTTCACCTTTCACCTTTCAGTACAAAGGTAATTAAACTCAAGGGGAGTTAGGAAACTTGTATATTTTGTATTATAGCAATTAAGATAGGCAACATATTTAAAAAATTACAATACTCAAATATACCATTACGAATATTGTAAGTTTTAAATATAAGGTTAATTAATATTTTAATTTCACACAAAAAAAAACAAATTGACCTAAGGCATTTTTAAAATTTCTGAAATTTAGGAATAACTATTCATAAATTCTAAAACAATTCCAAACATTTTTTGGTAATTTTGTACTCTGGGGCTGTATTTTTTTTTGTTTTTTGTAAGTAGAAAAGGCTTTGATAATTTTAGTTACAAATTTCGAAGCTATGATGATTGTGTTTTGTTTGCTTCGCTGTTTTGAAATAAACTGTTTTAACCAGTTTTTCAAAAATCCTTCTTTCCTGCAAGTTCCTTTTAAGCCAGTCGTAATGACCGAAACGGACCTTCCTTTGCAACTTGGTGTTTTTTTTTTTATGCTACTCCATATTTCACGGAATGTAGTAGTTTCTTGCGATTTTAGCAATTCGTTTTTTATTTGATCAAAATCGGACCTCTATATCCTTCATAGAATGGGTTTAATCCACCTTTGCTAGAGTGCCGAAGCTGGGAAATATTCCTTCAATTCCGATTGATTTCTTAAGAGAAATTATGTTAATTTTTACGTACAAACTTTCATATTGCTTAAAACCGCTGGGAGTTTTTGTTTTAAGAACGAGACAGTTCTGTCAGTGAGTCGTTTTTATAGTCGTTTTCTTATCTCCGGCAGACATTTACATGGCGCACAGCATCTTCTTGAAGAAGACACGGCTAAAGCAAATACATTTTGCGCGTGCTTCGGAAATAGCGTTTATCACAAGTGAAACCATTAGGAAATTAAAAGGGAATATATTTTATCAGTGGGAAAGTTTTCGTCAATGAAGACGCCTTTTAAATTGTTTGCATAGAAGTTAAGCTTTCAAACATTTAAAAAAACAAACCTTATGCAAACAAAGAGGTATTTACTTTATTATACTCTTGCAAAGGGGAATTCTAATTGGCATCTAAATTTATATTAAAAATAAAATATCAATGTTGGATTGCAATCCTGATTACTTTGAACGAAGGTTTTATAAACTACACTTGCACTGTTTAAGTCCGGCAAGCCGAAGTTCATATACCCTTGCAGCTATCGCAAGAATTAAATATTTTTGAAAACATTAAAATTATGATTTACTTGCGTATATGTTTAAAAACATTGAAGCTATGACGATTTGCAGCTTAATTATTTGATTGTTCTTTTATATATTTTTATTATTTGTATGGGAGCTATATGATATAGTCGTCCGATTTTGATGAAATTTAAACCATAATTCTGAAATATTTAACCATTGCTATTTGTCGAAGAACTAAAAAAAAAATTAAAAAACAGCAAAGTTATAATTTTTTTTCAATTATTTTTCCGATTGTTCCTATGGGAGCTATATGCTATAGTCGTCCGATTTTGATGAAATTTAAACCATAATTCTGAAATATTTAACCATTGCTATATGTCGAAGAACTAAAAAAAAAATTAAAAAACAGCAAAGTTATAATTTTTTTCAATTATTTTTCCGATTGTTCCTATGGGAGCTATATGCTATAGTCGTCCGATTTTGATGAAATTTAAACCATAATTCTGAAATATTTAACCATTGCTATATGTCGAAGAACTAAACAAAAAATTAAAAAACAGCAAAGTTATAATTTTTTTTCAATTATTTTTCCGATTGTTCCTATGGGAGCTATATGCTATAGTCGTCCGATCCGGCTCGTTCCGACTTATATACTACCTGCAATAGAAAGACAACTTTTGGGAAAGTTTCATGCAGATAGCTTTAAAACTGAGAGACTAGTTTGCATATAAACGGACGGACAGACGGACAGACGGACGGACAGACGGACAGACGGACAGACGGACGGACAGACGGACAGACGGACATGGCTAGATCGACTCTACTAGTGATGCTGATCAAGAATATATATACTTTATAGGGTCGGAAACGTCTCCTTCACTGCGTTGCAAACTTCTGACTGAAATTATAATACCCTCTGCAAGGGTATCAAAATATAAAATAAGTTGTATATTTAATGGAAATAAAAAACCACATTTATTTGATTTTTACAGCTTTGTTTCTTGGATAGTTATCACTGAAAACCCGTTAAGAAGAAAATGACTCCTTGGGCACTTCCTCGGGACTGATATTGAGAAATATGTAATTTGTGGACGGCTGGGAAATTGTAAAGGAGTAAAAATGTTGTTCGTTAAGCTGAAGAATTTTAACAATTTGCGCCATGGAATACTTTTGACGTGACAACCAAAACCAGGCCTTCGGCAAGCGTACAGTCCTGTATGCAAATAAATACGATTAGTAAGGGGTTTTTTTTTTTTTTTTGAGTGCTTACTCACTTAATAATTGCTTGGGGAAATATTTTTTCGATGAGAGCACATAGCTGTAGGTATTTCCATCTATCCGCACTATCACTGTGTATCCTCGAGTAATCTTGATAACCTGAGCTCCTTTGCAGCTTCCCAAATGCGGACATGTCTTCGGTTTGGGACCCATCTGCCAGTGTTGTCATTAGCACATTATCAGTGGCCACGAAATCGATACTGGTCTCGATGACAAAGTACTCTGAGTGGTAGTTCAGCTCTATTTCCTGTCGCTCCCCAATGGCGGCCATTCTTGGATGATTGAGGGCAGCCATTCGCAGGGCCGGTGGAGAAAAGTCGGTGTCGGAGCAGGTGTAGATCACAGATTTACCTCGTTGGCTCACATCGTAGATTCGGCGGATCGTGTTCCTCCGGGAGAGTACATCCAAATGGGTAAATGGGTCGTCCAACAGGATGAGATCGGCATCGCTTAGCAGTGCAAGGGCTAGGCTTAGTCGCTTCCCTATACCGCGACTACAGACCGAAAGCAATTGAAACCGATACTTGTGTAGACCAAATATTTTGCACAGTGTTGTGGCATCCGATGCTAAAGTTTTGGCCACTGAGCGTCGAACTCGCAATAGCAATGTTATACTTTCCAATATTGTCAATGTCTGAAACGTGTTAGTTTCTTGTGCACTATAACCAGTCAGATTGTAAGCTTCCAAGTTTTTCGCCTTCAGCGGCACCCTATTTGAGCATACAATTCGTCCTGAGCTGGGAGAGATAACACCGAGTATGGTTTTCATCAGAACCGTTTTTCCAGATCCATTTGTCCCGAATATGCTTAGCACTTGATACCTAAGAACATAATACCAGAATTTTGGGTCAGTTAAAGGAGTTGCGGAAACTATCATCGGTTAAATGAAGTTTACCCTGCATTTATATAAAAAATGGTTTGCAAAAGTTGTCCAATAACCGATTACTTCCAGGGTCTTGTTATCAAAACGAATTTAACCTATACGATCGATTAAAAAAAAATTGTCTTCGTCTTCAATATACAAATTTCCTCAAAAAACAATCGGGTTTTAGCTGGCACCATCCTATGAACTGCATTGACAACACTAACACTAACCGCAAAGAGCGACCCTATCGAATGCAGAGCAGCGGCAGAGCACGACACGAACAGTATAAAACCGCTGTCTGCACACACACATTGACATACTCACACAAATGATGTGTGTGCATACATGTAGTATGTGTGCTCTTCGCTGCTTTTCGTGCACGAACTCCGTTATTTGAGTATGCGGTTTTATAATATAATATTATATATAAATACTTTATAACAAACAACTAATAACTTCTAAATGAATAACTAGATTTTGAAAATGTATGTATCTACCCATAGATATAACCGAAACACACAGAAACCGCCCAATGACTAAGGTCAATCAGGTCTCACAGTGACATGACAGATTTTTGCGATTTGTGGGCGTTGGAGTGGGCATGGCCACGTTTTTAAATAAGCTCTAACTTTTATAATTTCCGTGGTCTCGACGTTCATACAGACAAACGGGTATAAAAACTAAATTAAAAATGTACTATTAGTAAATTTCATACCTATTGCACATAAAGTCAATATGTTTGAGTGCCGCCTTTAAGTCAAAGAAAACGCTCAAGTGTTCCACATGCAAGACTTTTCTCTCGATATAATTACGTTCCAGAGTCCGAACACGGGACTTTTCCAATATCCTGGTATTTTCAAGATCACTGGGCTGGGGAATGTGCAAAATATTGTGGAAATGTTGGCTATCTGGACTGTTCGAATTCAATGGTTATTGTTATTCAGTATCTACACATAAGACAACCCCAACTTACTCATTGTCATTCAAATATTTCCGTTGGCGTGGCGTGTGATTTACCAAATGTGACTGGAGAAAAATGAAAATTATGATCCACACCACGATGGTCAATACGTAAACGCAACTTAAGTATCGGAAGTGATGAAACTGCTGTGCTCTGGTATCTATAGTGAAATTAAGAAGTTAAATTCAAATAAGTACCTTTTTTTTTTTTTTTTTTTGTAATGTATATGTATATTTTTATTATTCGATTAGCACACTGCTACCCAAGTGGCAGCTTAAATCTAATCAGTCTATAATCAGTACCTATGTTTATAAATCAGAAAAATGAAAAATGTGTTGCCTAACATGAAGGCGTCCATTAAAATACTTCTTAAAAATTATTTGTTTTTAATATGTGTATTTTTTTAACTTGGGAATCGGTTCTTTAATCTGATCCATAAAGTAGGTCTTAATACATAATATTTTATATACACAATATTAATATGTTATATATTTTACAATATATATAGGGTGTACCATCTTAAAATTCGCTCAAAATAATGTTATTTTTGTGAAGCTTTTAAATGCTGATAGTTGTATAATATTAAAGGTAAAAAACAATCTTACCACAACAATTTGGAACACTCTGGCACTGCGCCGAATAGACACTGGTCTCATAAATTTGCATATCGCTGCAAAGCCAAATTTTCTCCGATAGGCTGGCAACGCGCATTAGATTGTGCAGTAAGGCATAGAACGGATGGAAGTCGAGAAGAAAAAATAAAAGGTCATTGGATTCTGCGGTCAGGTTCGATTCCCATACAGCAAGGTAAATCACAATGCCAAGTGTGTTGAAGGCGAGTACGAACAGATAACCCGTGTAAATCTTTCGCAGGCCGATGGATATAAGGATGTTTGTGCTGAGCACACAGATCGACACGATAACCAAGATATAGGAATAAAGCACTGTCATTCGAAGGATGCACGGTAATTAAAAAAGCCATCTAAGTAGGACACCACTTACCGAAAATATCAGGATTCATTAGTACATCCCACTCGAGGAATAGGACGGCTATGTTAAGCGGAAAAATGGTCACTGACACCACAACTATATCGTAGATTAAAAACGCCAGTATCAAAAGGCTGATCCGCATCCCAGAAATCAGTTCAATATAGTTATAGCGACTTTCGCGATTCAGTGCCATGTAAAGCAGAGGGATGCTCCAAATGAAACAGAAACTGAAGCACAGGCTGCAGGCGAATATCAAATCGATACCATCGGTGTTCAGATGCAACTGCAAAGTATGCACCGTCGAGAAGGGCAATGGATCGATTTCCACCTTTATTCCCGAGTCAGAGCCTAGAAAGCCACTGGAAAAGTATGCAAAATTATAACGACATACATGTCAAGCATATGGAACGTGACGAAAGTGTACAATCGAGTGCGCTATAATTCCCAACGGGTTCTAGCCGCGTGAAATCACCAAAAACAATTGCTGAAGAACAATTGTACACCAAAGTCGCGCTCAGGCAAGCATGTATACAAATCTTGAACTCAATAGATCGTGAACATACACTGCCAAGGAATTCATTACCATGGCCAGACTGTTGGGTGCCGAGTGGGGCCATTTGTTGTTGAACAGAGCTTGGACCTCGCCTTCGGAAAATATGGCAGCCGCCAGAAAGTCCAAGTCGGACAACAATTTGTGCCTATGGACATGCCTGCGAATGTACATGGTAATGTCGTGACCCGGATTTAATTCAATGGCTCCTGTCTTGGCGTACTCCTCGCTCGCCCTCACAAGTGCTGGTGATGCTGGTGAATTTTGTTGAAAGATATTGATAACACGGTCACGGTCACCAATCGGAAAACTTCTTCTATCCGGTGGCTGGGAAGTGTCCCAAAAATATGGCATACAAAGTGTCCAAACGGCCACCGATGCGGGCAAAATAAATTTCAGAAAGGGCAAAAACCAGTTACGAAAATCGGCGATCAGGCGCTGGCGAAGCACCACCCAAAGGTCCCGGATCAGTGAGGTATACCTCTTCTCCAGCCGGCCCTCGATGCGAAATATTTGGGATGCAGGGTTTTCCAATTCAATACTTGACTGCTCATGGCCAAACAAGCTCAATAAGATGTGGTCAAGGCTGCATGCCTGTAGTTGAAACCTGTATATATTCAAGTTCTCTTTGCTATTTGTCAAGTTTTCGAGCAATTTAATTAACTCAGTTTGGTCTTTATATTTAATTAGAAAGATCGCGGAATAACCAAACCTACAGTCCAGCTCAATATTAGCTACGTATTTTTCCAAAAAGAGTTGCACTTCTGCGAAATTACAACTTTCGTTGCCATAAATAGTCTGTTGGGATACCTTGATAGTAGATTTGTAACAAGTAATTAATTTAACGAACTCACCAATCGATAGGCATTGTCGAACGTATTGCACAACGATTTTTCAGTTCCATATGAGAGCAGCTTACCCTTGGACAGAATAGCAATGCGATCGGCCAGATAGCTGGCTACTTTTGGACTATTGGTAGTGAAAAATACAGTGCGACTTTTCTTCTCCTCCTGGACAAAATCGAGGAACAGCGCGACCGTGGCCTCATCCATTCCATCAAAGGTCTTGTCGATGATAACAATGTGTCTTCTTCCAACGAAAGCACACAGGGTCTGGAGAATGAGTTTCTGTCCGGTAGTGAGTCTCCTGACCTGTGTTTTTTCCAAATTCTCCATTTTCAGTGAGCGAAGATAGGACTCAACTTCTTCTTTGGCTTCGGTTTTCTTTAGACCTCGCAATCTACTGAAAAATACTAGATGGTCGAACACTTCGAGCTCGGAGAACAATGTGTTGCAGGACATGGCCGATGCGGCATTTTTAAAGGCCTGCCTTCTATGAGTACCTACATTAAAGCCAGATATGAAGACCTCTCCCACCGAAGGCTGTGTCAGTCCGCACAGCATCTTCATTATTGTGCTTTTTCCAGACGCATTATCACCCAATAGTGCCACCACTTCTCTGGGATATACATCGAATGTGAAATCACGCACCGCAAACTTTTTCGAGTACTTTTTCGATACGTTACGAAACTCAATTGACGCATTATTTTCGTTCTTTGAATCGACGCTTTTTCTTTCCGGCTTTTTGAGCCATGACCTTTGACCGTTGCCTTCCTGGATTTTTTTGTATAATTTGGTCCTTCGAACTTTTCGACACATTTTTTTAAAAACACCTCCTAAATAAGCGCTTGCATTGGATTCCAGGATCAGGGCGATTAGCGTGTAAAGTAATGTCTGAAAGTAAAAACATCCAAAAGGTACGACAAGTCCAAGGTCAGAATCCATAACTTTGTAATTGATAAATTTTCTACTTTTCGTTTTTCCCGGGTAATCCTCGATGTAAAAGAATTTCTTCAATCCGCGACTGAACGACACACTGCAGAGAAGTACTGTAGCTATTACATAAAACACATGCGGCAGTTCAGAGATCAGCTCTTCATCGGACAAAAATGGTAGCGGCACAAGGATCCATATAATTGGTACCACAACAATGGCAACTTTTGTGTTGCGTATTGCTGATGATATGAAAATGATAAAACTGGTTGCAGATACTCCATATGAGATGAAGAAAAATAACAATATATGCCAAGGACTTTTGTGCAATATTCCCGCAATTCCATCCCACGCGATCTGAAAATAGGGTAGTTAACTTTTTGACTCGACCAAGCAATTATAAGCCTGAACCTTGAGAAGACATGTTATGAGGACCGAAAAAATCAGGAACTCAAGGAATCCATTAAAGAACCAGGCTGCAACTTGCAACATTCCACTGGCGTTGCTGTTCTGCATCGCAAAACGTTGTCCAATCTCGCGCTCCTTCACAATCAGCTGAAAAGAAACAAAAGTTAAAAAATATTTTTAAATAAATATGCCTATAGCAAAAAGCGCCACTCAACTGGTGCGGCAAGCAAAAAAAGATATAGCGCCATCTGGCGGTAAAGTAGTAGCTAGCACAGTCGTCATTGAACAATATTAACGAAATTTCTTAATAACTTCTAAAATAAAATACTATTTCAAATAAAAAAAAAATAATAATAATTTGCTTTAAGAATGCAAACAATTTTGTAATAAATTAAATTAAATTTTTTAAAATTCTTAAATTTATTGTTCCCAAATTGCACTAGTTATGCGCAATGAAAATCCATTTGAATACCTACATTTTGTGGTACACCACCCCTTATATTTTATAGAAATAATCATGGTTATTGATATTGACAGCTTCAAGAAAATGAATGAAAAACAAACAAACCTTAACGAGAACAGCGACAGGAAACATGAAGCCAAGAAGAATCAACAGTATGGCCGAAGTGTCTAATCTATCGAAAACTAGTACATTAGTATTTTCATTGAATCGCCGCATATGGACTTTGGGAACTCGCAGTGGGCTGTACGCACTCTCCAGGTATTTGTTGCTAATATAGTACTGCAGGGCTACAAAACCCTCTTTCAAATAATCCGAATAGCTTTCCTCGTCGTCCTCTTCGTCATCGGAACTTTCAGGATTGACAAGAAAGTTGATTTCCTTCCAGGTGTCGCCAATCCAAGTGCTCTCATAGTTGCGAAGCTCCGATGGCATAATGATCGCGAAATGCATCACCTTTGGTAGGCCATTTTTCGAGGCATCCGCATCGACATTGTGAAAGCAAACACTGGCCATATAATGTTCGGCAGAAGCGTGGGTTCGCATCTCATGGCAAGTCTTAAAGGGTACAATATTTTCTGCCGAGATGCTCAGTTGCGCCACCACAGCCTCCATGAGCACGGCGATGGCAGCATTTGAATTGGGGGCATATGCCACTTTTATTTGCGGTATGAAGACATTTCTTTTAAAACTGTAAGAGGAAAAAAGCTTTAAAAATATCAAAACAAATTTCATATTATTGTTATAATTACTTTTTCTCTTTCGCCGCCACTAACTGACGGCGTTCGTTAATTTTTTTGATCAGCGGCAACCAATTTAGCTTCAATATTGTGCCTTCCTCTTTGACTGAATAGTATCTCAAATGTTGTTCCCGTGAAAGGCGAACGGATAAAAGGAATGAAAACGAAATCACAGGCAGCAGTAACGACAGAAACAACACTAACTTATTGTCCTTTTGTTTTTGAAAATTCTTCCAAACCAATAACCAAAATATATATAGAGTACTGCAAGCCATTTAAATACAAAATAATTATTTATTTTTTAAAAACAACGACACAACCTTTTTAAGTTTCACATTTAAAATGACAGGTAAGGCAATTCGGGTTTTCTTCTTAATAAACTATATAAACTATATACAAAACTGGCACATATTCTTAGATATGCCAAAATGAAAACATAACAAATGGCTAATCCTACTCTATTTACACAAAGTTATAGTTTGTAGTCCGCATCCGTAAAAATACATTCGCTGGCACTCGTCTATAAGCATTCCCTTGACATCGGCTATGCAGGTATATCCAACTCGGCTATATTGTCGCGTTCTGAGGTTTATTCTATAGATCTGTCTATCTATACTGCAGGTATAGGCAAACATTTCGTTGGTGCGACAATGGATTGCTAAAGCATTTACTTGGGCATTGTGAAGACCTTGAAATTCGGTTTTATATTCCACTCTATTGCTGTCCAAATTGAGTACTGTGTACTTAATATTTTCATCATCTCCACCTGACAGTATGTGCAATATGTGCTTATCAACGTATATATCTATTGTATTTATTCCCGTCACATGCAGTTGAAGTTGAACAGATGTTGTGTGTAGTGTTTGATCAAAGCCGTAGATTTCTCCACTTGTTGTTGTGATTAGTACTAATCTTTTGTTACTAATCCATTGCACTGTCAGCGGGCATCTTTGTATATCTACAAAGGAAATAAAACTAAGTTCGCTTGGATTTTTGCAATTCCAGGTATAATGGGTAATTTTTCCATCAGCGCCTGCCACATATATGGAGAAATCATCCGCAGTAGAATGCTGGGCTATATCAATGGCCATTAGTCGAGCTTCGATTGTGCTGCTCTTAGAGGCAGTTATATTTTGCAGTGTATGTGTGGACAGTTCGGTTATGTAGCACTTGTTTGAGACGCTTACTTCCAGTTGGCTTATACAGAGCTGGGATCGACCTCCAACTGAAAAGATCAACCATGTACTCGAGTCACTTTCCGACCTCCAGAGATGAGCCTTTAAGCATCGAACTGTTGAAATATGAGAGTGCAATTCCGCACATTGCAACAATGAATCATTGAGTATTTTCGTGACTTTTATGATATTATCATCGCCAGCGGATATGATAATAGGATTTGCTTGACTTTTGTGGGCAAGCAGACGAATAGTGTTGCAATTTCTGGTGTGCCAGGTATTATTTTGTATGTCTTTTATTCCACTGACGACGGCGACTGTATCGTAAAGTGGACTGGTGAGGAAAAACACACGCTTTTGCTTCACATACGCTATGGAAAGTAAACCATTACTAAGTCGGTAGTCCCAGCATCGATTGCCTCCGCCGCATTCCAGCTGTAGAAGGACATCGTGTTGGCGTGACCAGGCAACAATGTGGTTATCGTTAAAACCCAAAATCAAGTCCTCGCAAGGAGCTGCCTCAACCCAAGCCAATGGGATACTTTCGCGTTGTCTGACAGTCAAAGTGCAGTCCTTTAGTCCAATGTGTAGATATTTGAGGAAAGCTTCGTGGCCACCGCTCATTACATTTGCAAAGTCCTTATTGGCACTGAGTAGTTTAAAGAAATTGGCACCCATTTTACCGTGCAAACACTTAATGGTATCCTTCAGTACGAAATCATTTCCAGGACTACGGTGGTACAGCATGACATGACCCCTACGATTGCCCAACAGAAGATAATGCTCGGCAACAAGCAAGGCAGCTGTTATCCAAGGCTCACGGTCATTGAAAAGTGCAATATGGGAATCTATGCCCAGTTCGTGGGTCTTCAATAGGAGACAATAGCCCAAGTTATCGGATACAAGAAAGAGATCTCTGCTCAGAAATTGAAAAGAGCGAATGGTGCCCTTCATTCTGATGCCATCAAAGAGTTGCTGGAAATCATTGGTATGTTCATTGAACCTGTGAATTGTTATTCGCCGATGACCACAGGTGGCTATAAGGCCGTCAAAGACCTCTAAAACCGTTCGTTTGTATATTGGAAAGTCATTTACCATTAGCCAATTGTTTTCATGAGGAGCATCCGACAGTATTCGGGTATAATACAACCGATTCGAGCTACTTAGGCCAACAATTGTGTCAGCATTTAGGAACTTAATGTTTCTGGGAAACTCATTTGCTTCACCCAAACCGTTCAGCATAATGGGGCGATATTTGTCTCGATTGAAGATTTCTTTGAGGTTCTGACCAACTAAGTTACCCGTAGAGCTGGTACTATAAAGCGTGTGTTCGTCCTGACCAAATCCCAATCCCCAAATGGGTGCTCCGAAATGTTGACGGCGTTTTAACAACAATTCACCGGATCGACTCCAAATGCAGACATAGGAATCCTCACCGCCACTAGCCACAAATATTTGACCATCTGCAAGGGAAAATGATCTATGGTAAATGAGTAATTATGTTTGCTATTAAAAGCTTACCAACTTTAAGGATGCTAACGCACATTACACGTGAACCATGGCCGAAACAACTGAACATTGGTCTAATTTCAGCGGTTGTCCAGTCGCCAGACTTTTTGATATTCCAAAACTTTACCGATCGATCGTCCGATGTTGTTACCAATAGTTGTGATACCAAATCAAAGTCAATGGAGTGGATCACTCCGTTGTGCGCTTGCAGACGCAAGAGCAGTGGATATGTTTTTAGATATGTATCAGATTGCGATTCTATGGGAAACTGAGTTTGCCATAGCAACAATTCGCCAAAGGCATTTCCGCTTATTATTGCCAGTTCGTTATAGCAATTGCCATGCAAGCGGGAGTAATAGAGAATCGAGCTGTCCGTGCATCTGGCTAATTCCAAAACTTTACAGTCTGCACCGGATGCAATATCAAATTCCAAATATAGAAGTGCACTATGCGAGGTGTGCAGGACAAATCGTGTCTTGGCTGTTGCACTGTCGTCTAAAAACATGGCCGCATTTATCCAGTCTTTGGTTTCGCCCTCGTAAATCAGCTGGAACTGGTCCTTCTCACCATCCGAGGTACACACAATAAGCGAGTATTCATTTTCACTATAAATCAGTAGTGATCTTTGTGATTGTTTCAAAGGACTCCACGCAAATCCACGAACTTTTCCCTCACGCAGGCGAACCGGCATCTCGACTTTGCCATATGATTTGTATAAAACCGCCTGGTCGCCATGGCCTGTGTATACAAAAACCCACTATTATTGTCTATTAAAGTGCATTTAATCATTTTACCCACCAACCAATATGCAATTGGAGGACACATGCAAGCCAAAAGCATCGGATATTAAAACCATAACTTTATTTGTTTTCCTTACACACGCTGGTTGATAAACACACGCAGTTCAGTGTGACCGTGCCTTGACTACATTATGTGCGTCAAGTTAGCGTCGAAGGAGTGTAAGTGGAATGGCGGATTGTGAAACAGTATTTTGAATTTTTAAATTGAGTCGTTAAGAACTTAATAAGCTTTGTAATTAAAGAAAAGAGAGCATACAATATATGTATATTCCTATATAAGAACAATACGGCTTACTTTGCGTTACGGAATTAACTATGTCTGATTTTTTTCAAAGGCTTTCCGCAAATATAAAAACTAACAGATTTATTATAATTGCTGCAGAAAAAAAACTTAGATTAAAAAGTTCTAAAATGTAGAATTATTGATCAATTTGTTCTGCTTAAAATTAAGCGGTAAGACGCCAATAAGATTATTATTTGCGTAAAACGAATAACACAAATTGATCTAGATATTTTCTCGATTATAACAAGCGGAGTGTGAATATTCTCCAATTTAAGATATTCCATATTGAGATGTATAGCACTCCTCATCAATGCCTCATTGTAACAATACGAAAATGAATTTGATTTAATTTATTAAAAATTAAATAAAAATACTAAAACATCCTTCACATTCTTTTAATATTGTCACTAAAAATGTAATGTTTAAAGCTAAGAAGATCCGCTGCTCGGCAGCAGATTCAGGGAACTGGATATAGTTGGCTCAATGGGAGGCACCTGTTTGTCCTCGTGATGTTGCAGCAACTTGAAGATGCCAGTTCCTATGCCCGCAGGCATGCCCAGGATTATGCGTTCCGACACTCCATTGATGGCGTCCGTTTGGCCGTAGTATGCGGCATCGAACAGGTGGTCTGCCGTCTTCTCAAACTGAAATGGTTTCCATGACCATAGGATAAATTTGAATGCAACAAATAGTTATATAGCGACTCCTTACCGATGCCAAATTGAAGACGCTTTCACGCATTTTGGCCAGGCCGTGCCGAGTGATGCCCAGCACTTCACCACGCGCCGTCATTTGGCTGGCCAGGAGCATGATGTGGCGCCAATCGACACTCATGCCATGCCCCTCCATGACCTCCGTGATTTCGCTCATGATGATGGTCCGGGCCGCTTCGATGCCCAGCGTTTGATATATTTCGCATATGTTGTTGCTGCGCGTACGCTCGCCCACCACACCGAATGTGGCGATGACATCGCGAAGTCCGTAGCCCTCGATGCACAGCTTATATGTGGGCGGCTGGCGGGCATCGTCGACGGCAATCACAGCACGAGCTATGTTCGGCAGTCCGGCCACAACCACATTCTGCAGACTGAGGGCCAGACGAGCCAGTTCGGCGTTTATTGTTGCCGTACGCGTGGCCTCGACGCGCACAACAATCCTCGAATGCTTCGCCACACTCTGCACTTGGGACGGCTTAACCCGCATCCGTGACTTCAATATGCTAAACACAATCGTGTCCAGGTTTATGTGCAGACCCAGAAGCTTAATCCTAGCCATATCGATGCCAATCGCCAGGTAGCAGCTATAGGGTCCACACACCACCTCCACATAGGAAGATAGCTCTGCCAATGTGGTCTTCTCAATGCGCGCCTTCACTTGCCTGGCATATTCCATGCTGTGATTGTTCGCCAGTTCCGCAGTTATGATTGGCGTCGATATGGTTTTCGTCGCATTAATGATCTCGACTATACGTGGCACACCTTGGGTGATGTTCATGGAGGCAACGCCAGCAAAATGGAACGTCTTCAGTGTCATCTGAGTGCCCGGCTCGCCAATACTCTGCGCGGCTATGGCTCCAACTGCTGTGCCGGGTTCGCTGACGGCGCGATTGTATCGATCATTAATGCGGCGCAAAAATATGTGTAGCTGCTCAGCGGTGATGCACTCGATCTGGTGGCATATGTCCTTGTATTTATCATAGCGTCTCTGCAGTTGGGTAATGCGTTTGCTCACAGTATTAATGTGATTTCTGCAAGATAAAGTTCGATTTTAAAACAAACAAGCAAAACACTTCAAATACGATAGAGTACACATACCTAACGTCTGTTTTAAAATCCTCCCGAGACTCGACGAATTCAGAGGTCTTCAAAAGGGATTCCAAGGTGTCGGGAATTTCGGAGCCCAGCAGCGGACGTTGCTTGCCATGTGGATGCTGAGCACGCAGACTGTCGTATTGATGGACCAGATCGACTGGCTTATTCCGGGTCTCCATTGAGACAGGATCCAGGCCATCGCCGCCATAAATGGTGTCCACCATTTCGTTGACTGCATTGCGCACCGTACCGTCATAGTGAACGACCAGATCCTCGAGGCACTTCACCAACCGTCGCTGCAGATATCCAGTCTCTGCCGTCTTCACGGCCGTGTCCACCAATCCCTCGCGTCCGGCCATTGTGTGAAAGAAGAACTCCGTGGGCGTGAGGCCGGAATAGAAACTGTTCTGCACAAAGCCTCTGGCCGCAGGAATGGCAGCTAAAAAATGGTAACTATTAAATATGTATTCCATGTCGAAGGCCACCACGACCACCACGATCACCACCACTTACAGTGCCTTTCGAAATGGGGAAGCGCACGATTCTCGAAGCCGTTGGGCACTCGCTTTCCACTTATCGCCTGCTGGCCAACGCAGGCGATCATCTGCGAGATGTTGATATTCGAACCCTTCGATCCACTGAGCGCCATGATCAGCGCACTATTCGTGGGATGCAGCTCGGCAAAGCATGTCTTGGCAGCCTGCTCACGGATGCCCGACAGCTCGCGCAGCATCACCGCCTCCAGGGTCTCCTCGGGGGTGCAGCCGGGCTGGCACTGCAGAGTGCCCGCCTTCAGCTTGTCGATATACTCATTGCACTTGGTGTATCCGTGTTCCAGCAACACCTCCTTGTGCTGCAGAAGCTTTTTGCTGGGCGTCACGTCGCTAATGCCGAATGAGAAGCCACGGTTCTGCAGATAGTACGACGTGATCTGAAAAAGTACGTTTAATTTAATGTTTATCTTTGCATCTATAGCATTAATTGGCTGGGCTACTGTGATGGAACTCAAGTTCTGTGATGTAAATTACACTCGTTTCTCATATAATAAAGTATGTGTACAAAAGCAGGATCTTAGAAAGCTAAAGACAAGATTATCGTACAGACTTCTATGAAGATCAGTTTGACATATTTTGATATTTTTTGCATATACTTAAACATTTCATCAAAGTGAGTTAATAGAACACGCGACAAATTTATTGCAAAAAAACATATTTTTATTTAAAATACATTTTTTAATTTGCTTTTGAGGTGGACCCTATAAAATTCATTTTTATTTTGCACATTAAACTATTCAGGGTGGTGTTTTTGGGCTCTTTTTATTAAATGTGTTAAAATCTGTGGTGCAGACTTGTCATAAGAGTCATAAAAAGGTATTTCCCCATTTATTTTTAACAAATGATTTTTCTAATTTTTCTATTCCACAGTTTTTTCTTTTAACTTTTGTCCATTTATTGTTTTGAGGACAGAAAAATTAATCAGTACGAAATGTATGCAAAAACAGATGCAAAGAAGTTTTTATCAGGTGATAAGGATTGCCATATAACATCATAAAATTATCAACAATGTGTAAAATAGGCATGTCAGCTGGATGATAAATGGGAATCGAACTCCTCAACTGTGGCACTCGTATGTTAAAGTGTTTAATCTTAAGATAAAGGACTGTATATAGTATTTATGGTCGAAGATATTATTTAATTAACCTGAAATATAAATACCCTTTAAGAGTATAAATATTCTCGGGCATTGAGCGGATTGAACCGTGCAACTAGCGGATTGATATGAGAACTCCTTTAATAGGCAACCATTTTTTACGGTCGCTAAAAATATCAGTGACAACGTATCAATTTCAGAGCAGTGCATGTTCTTAGAAGCAATTAAAAGTCAACTTTAACAACTGGGGAATTAGTGAATGATAGCATTCCGCACTGTAAGAGAACGACCCACGTCGAATTTAGTAAGTTAAGTTAGCAGTTAATCTTATCGGAAAGTCAGTCACATTGTTAAAAAAATTTCGTGCAAAATACAGATAAAAGATAGCTACTAGTAGAATGCGTCAAGGAAAACAGTGGTGTGAAATCAAAAGCCAACTTCCGACAGACAATAAAGCACGAAGAAAGCCATGGGCACAAATTACGAGAGATCCCTAATGCTAATTCTATTGGCAAATATCACCGTTTTTGGCCTGCAAAATGAACTGCCATCAAGGGATATAGTAAGTAAATGGCAGCATTTCAAATTTCATTTAATTTAACTAGTTCAATTTGAACAGCAAGGCCGAATTATATCGGGAAGTCAAGCAAAAATTGGACAATTTCCATGGCAAGTCATTCTGAAGCGAGACGAATGGGATGATCTACTGTGTGGGGCATCGATAATATCCGAGAACTGGGTTCTAACGGCCGCACATTGTGCATCTGGCCATGACTCCCTCTTCCTGATGTTCGGTAGCGTTCAGCTGAACAACGAAGGCGCCCAGAACATGACCTCTACGAACATCTTCGTCCATCCGAACTACAACGAGAATTTGAACAACGATGTGGCGCTGATCCTGCTGCCAGAGCCACTGCAATTCTCGAGCAATGTTCAGGCCATACAACTGGTGGCGGAGTCGCAGGAGTCCAACTCGTTTGTGGGCACCACAGCCACCGTGGCCGGATTCGGACTGATGGACGACGAGTATCTGGACTACTCGCCAACGCTCTTGTTCGCCCAAGTGGAGGTCATCGACAACAAGGAGTGCCTGCCCATCTTCGGCACCGCCGTCGTCCTCTACTCGACCATGTGTGCCAGAGGCCTGGGCGGCAGCAACATGTCCATCTGCAGCGGCGACTCCGGCGGACCCCTGATTGCGTACAACAGCAGCAGCGGACAGTGGCAGCAGATCGGCATCAACTCGTTCGTCGCCGAGGATCAATGCACCGCCAGTTACCCATCTGGCTACGTCCGTCTCACCTCTTTTCTTACGTTTATTGCCGAGACAACAAATGGCGCGGTTGCAAGTTGAAATCGAAAATCTGAAATCCGAAGCGACTTTAGCCAAAAGTAAAAATAAAGCATGGACATAATCAATCACTGCTGTAATTATACCCGTCAATCGTGGAGCAAAGTGGTACAAGTATATTGGATATAGGATATTGGATTTGTGGAAAAATATAAGCCCCTCTTGCCAAATATTTCGCCTGCAACATTTTGTTTTTATTAATTATGCAGTGAGTAGCTCACAATACTAATTTTATTATTAGTAGACTTATTTGTAATCTGATTATGACGTATCTACGACAGTTTTTTAATAGTAAATAGTTTCCAAAATAAGTCTTCTCAGTTTGAGAAAATCTAAATCAACCTTAAGACCTTTTCAAGGCATTTATTTTTTCTACCTACTATTTTAAATTAAAATATAAAGCTTTCAAACGAAATAATCCATTTTGTTTTATAGTTCAAGCAAAAACGTGCACACATCTTTTCTACCTCATGAACTCATTCTTGTTTTTGTTAAATCGGATACTGTTTCATTTAAAACAATTCTGCAAATAAGCATTACAAAAAAAAAAAAATTTACATTTTTTTTAATTTGCGTACTACTATTGAAATGTTTTGAAATCAGGGAAACAAACAAAGATTCTCAGAAGATTCTTTAAGTAACTTATTACATAAAACTAACAATATAAAAAAGACATAGACTGCTATGCTACTTTAAAACTTTTTCACTGTATGTTCCGATCCTATAGACTGTACTTGAGGTTTACTATATACAAATATTCATTGGAATTAATAGAAAGACGAGCTTTTGCAAAAATATTGACTAAAATTCAACAAATATATTGAAACAAGCTATGCCTCAGGAATGAACTCAGGAATGAGTGTTGACTTGTGTTCTATTCGGTTTAGTTAGTTGTAAAGAATAGTACGTACCCTGGCTAATCTCCACATCGCCTTGGTGGCATGCAACTCGCCAAAGTCTCTCAGCAGCAAGTAGAAAATGCACTGTTTTGTGCCAGATCCCATGGTGGCCTTGTCCATAACACCGCACATCAGTTCCGAGTTGCGAATGTGAACCCCTGGCAAGAGAGAACAATAAAACTAGCTGATTGCTCGACCAACTGCTGTACTACTACATGGCTACTCACATGAATCATTGCTGCACAGATCCATGTTGCGCGTATAGTTTCGTCCTTTGTTGACCATATTGAGACGCACCTCCGAGTCGTCGTTGGGTCGCATCAGCAGGCTAAACATTTGTTTGCCCGTCCACAGACGACGTGGCTTGAGCAGAGCAGGCGGTGGTAGCTTTATGTGCATCGTGGAGTCCTCGCTGGCCAAGAAGCATGCGGCCAACTGCATGGCATCCTCCTTGGTCAGGAAGACCTCCTTCTGGGTGAGCAAGTAGCCGCCGGTGATGAAGTCCTGTGTGGCGGCAATCAAAATCTCACCGTTCTTTGGCGTCACCAAATTCGATTGGTTTCCCATTAGGATTAGGGCCTCGGCTCTGGCTTCCTCCGTTTGCGGCAAGTGAAGGTTCATCTCATCGCCATCGAAATCGGCATTGTATGGTGTACAGGCGCATTCGTTAAAACGGAATGTCCTCTGTGGCTGCACTTTGGCGCGATGGCACATAATCGACATCTTGTGGAGCGAAGGCTGGCGATTAAACAGCACAATATCATCGTCGCGCAGATGCCGTTCCACGATGTCACCGCACTTCAGCTCCTGGGCCACTTTTTCACGATTGCCATAGGCCAGGTACTTCTTGAAACTCGATCCCCGCTGCTGCACATAGTTAGCGCCGGGATGCAGACTCGGTCCGTTGCGCACTAGCTCCCTCATGTGCCGCATATTGGCTGGATTGACGCGCTCTGGATAGGTCAGAATCTTGGCCACACGTACTGGAACGCCCACCTGATTGATCATTAGGTTGGGATCCGGCGAGATGACAGTGCGCCCGCTAAAATCCACTCTCTTCCCGGATAGATTACAACGGAAGCGACCCTGCTTACCCTTCAGTCGCTGTACAATGCCGCGTGTGGTCTTCTTCGGTGCCATATTGATGGGTATGCCGCTGATCTCACTGTGGAAATATAGAGCCACGTGGAGCTGCAGGAAGTCCCAATCCTCGTGTATCAGCTCGATCTTCCCACCAGTGGCCATGTGACGCTGAATTACATCATTGATCAGCAGGATTTCACTCTGTTTCATGGTCAGATCGTCTTCGGTGGTGCCCGCCTTCACTTCGGACAGAACCGAGGGACGAATGCAGGCGGGCGGCACAAAGACTCGCGTCACAATCAGATGCTTTGGATGGGCATCGTGGGAGCACATGCCCAGCAGGGCCACATCCCTCTGGGGTATCTGTTCGAAGAGGTCGAGCACCATGAGCGGCGTTAGCTCCTCGGCTGTGCTGTAGTTGCCCAGCGTTAGATTGAGGTCTCGATTTGCCTCCGTGGAGCGGAGCATTTCGTTCATGTTGCTGGTGAACAGTGAGTCCACCTTGCGTCCCTTGTACGGATCATGCAGAATCTTGAGGAGGCCGGGGCCCTTCTTCACGCCACCGTTCGGGGAGCCACAGTGCGGGCACTTGGTCACCTTCTTGGCCTTGGCCAGCATCTGGACGTGCAGCGCCTTCTTGCCCAAATAGGAGAAGTTCGGATTGTGCAGCTTCTTCTCGTACAGCTGCCTGTCCTCGGGCTTGAGCATCACCTGGGCACACGCCTTGCAGATCATCTGCAGAATGTTGATCGTGGAGCGAAAGTGCCCAATGTGGAAGACCGGCAGGGCCAGATCCAAGTAGCCAAAGTGACCGATGCACTCGTTCAGCCCCTGGCCACAGGTCTCGCACATGGCGTCCTTCGTGCTGATCCCCATCCGGCGGTCGAGCACTCCATACGGCACCGGTTGCCTCTGGGCCTGGTACAGATTCTTCGAAATGATCCGCACCAGGGCCTCCTGCTGGATCTCATCCGCCCCGCTGATTCCGAATTGCACATGTGAACTGAAGGGATTTGGTTAATTTCACTTCATTTCATTTCATTTACATCGGAGTCCGCTGTGACTTACATCTTCTTGTTCAGCGCAGAAGCGCGAAACTGTTCCTTGGGCATGATTCCAGTTCGATTTCACTCTGTGATCTATTTAATTTAATATATTTGTTTACAAATAATTAACCGGCACGATGTTCCTAAATTCGATTTAGTGTGACCGGGCAAGAGTAATCGATAACCTATCGATATATCAAGGTAATCAAAACAGGTTTACATCAAAATAGCAACAGTGAGATGCGATGAAAATGGAACGGTATTTTAGTTTTTGATATTTTTTTTTTAAATAATGAAGTGTTGGTAATTTGAATTTAAAGTTTGAAATTTCTTCACTCAAACACTCAAGAGCCTTAAATAAAATGCATTTTCCACTTAATTATAAAAAAACGAAATGTATTAGACCATTAATGTTGTTAGGTTTTCGGGTCTTGTATTTGATAAAATGTTGTTTTCCGTTTTGGTTTAATCAGCTTGTTCAGCTGCAACAGTCAACAAAAAGCAATCCGTTGACTTATTGATAAGCACCATTATCCCAAATGAAACAGAACTAGAAATGAACTTCCAGGACGTTAAGTATATAAAAATTAAATTTCTTTTATTTTCAAAACAACAGACAAGATTTCTATAATACCTTAAGTACTAAAGTTATTCGTTTTCATATGTTATCGACTCGTTTTTGAAGTCGTGCACCTTCTCATACCATATATCATCGGCAGATTGCGGTAGCTCCCCGTAAAACGTTGGAAATGGCGGGGCTTCTTTATTCTTTCGCAGTGGCAGTATGGTATCGTATATGTACACCAGACCTCCGGTGGGACCGGGCACTGAGCTGCCTTGCACCCACATCACGTTGTACTTTGTGTTAATACGCCACACACGAAGACCCTTGATAATACGCCACCGATTGCCCATATGTCCGGGCATCTTTGTACCGGGCCAGACGCGGCCCTTTTCGCCTCCTCCGCCAATGTTACCGGCACGGCGATGTGTCTTGGTGACACCGTGGGATGCAGGCATTCCTTTGAAGCCGTGACGCTTGACAACGCCTTGGAAACCATGGTCAACTCTGTACAAGAAAACAATTAAAGCAAAAGGATTAAAAAAAAACATGTATTAAATATAACTTTTTAACAACCTTAATACAAATCTTAATGACCTGACTCCTACGAGCCTTCTTTAGCGATGTTTTTGGAAAGTGTTTCGCTCGTTTAGTTGGCATTAAAGAGTATAAGTGTTTGGTTCTAAAGGTAAACATTTAAATAAAATATTTGACAAATTTTAAAACAATATAGTTAAATGAGTAAAAGCGGTTTTGAAATTTTTGCTTTCTTCAACTTAGAGATTTTTCAGATTTCCTGTTGCCTGATTTCTTATAGTCACCTTTCAATATAACTTAAAATTGTACCTCTTTTATACATGAGTAGAAAGTTGCATCAGTACTTATCATAAAAATAAAGAACTATTAAAAATGGTATACATTTTCTATGTTCTATAATCGTTTTATGTTTGGATTGACTTTAGTTTTAGAGGTGTTTGAAATTGATAAAACGAAGGATTTTACAATTTTTGATAACAAGAAAGAAAGCTTCCCCTATCAAAATAGATCAAAGCATTTGGACAGATTTTTTCTATTACAGCTATGGTATAAGTAGTTTTTTAAAAATAAATAATTTTTTAAAACTAGTATAGACTACTTACGTTTTGCCGCGAACATCGACAAAGTCACCAACGCCAAAGTGAGTTACATTCAAGGGAGTTCCGGGCACTATTTTAGCCTCTGGTGAAACTATGAATCGTGCCAGGTTTTTCTTGGGCGCAACACCCGAGTCTCGGAAAATCCCAGAGTACTCTTTGGTCAACAGAGCGGGATTTGTGGTCTCCGCGCCGACGAGAATGCAACCGCGCTTGCTTAAATTGTGGACATTGGGTGGCTGCGCAGGTAAATACTCCTCCGGAGGAATGTATTTAATGACATGGTTGTCCGCAATCTGCAACAGAGTGGTCCGTATCCTTTCGCCGTTTTTAAGCCACAAGGGA